CTTCAAGCTTGAAAAGAATCCCGAGTCAGCTCAGCATTGAATGTGCTTGGCCCGGAATCTTGGCGCGAGTGTTTGGTACTTTTCGTTAATTCTCCCTGGCCTGAGGTGGGACAAGACAAAGTGGTATGTATGCATATCGCATCATTATGGAAATTCAATCGCCTTCGCACGCTTTTATCGAAGCCCAATCCACCCATGGTCCATAGATGAAGCTACGAACAGCTTTCCTATAACATCGTTTGCTTGCCGATGCCGAGGATGGCGCTTAGTGCGGTAGATCGAACGTAGAAATCTAGGCGTCTTACATAAGCGGTCACCTACGTATGACGCGGCGCAGCTTGGGGCCAGGCGGGATTAGCGCCTTGTTCCTGAAACATCCACCCTGGCCTTAATAATATCAAACGTCTTCTCGTTCACGAACGCTCAGGCTTTAACTCCCCCGCCGAGAAGCCACTGGCCCCTTATCTACCTTTCGTCCGCTCCTGCACGTCACGCACTGTGCGCCAGTTTTGTTCTGTCGGGTTGCGACCTGTCTCCATCCTCCCTTCCCTCATCGACAAGACCCCTCCTCATCAACATCTTGAGCACACTGCTGCATGGCCTCCCTCACCGTCCACCCCTCCTTAATCTTTCGTCTGATCACATCCTAACACGCACTCGTCCGGACGTCCCATCTCGCCTTTCCATTTGGGCGGCCATCGTGCGATCCGTTTACGTTCCCTGGGGGAATCCCGCCGCTCGTTTCTGTCTATCAACACCCTTAAAACCATAGTATACTTTTTTGTATATAAACCCCCCGTAAACCAATCGACATCCAATCGTCACAAATCCCGCAGAAAATTGCTGGCTCGATTTCTGTACGGTCTTTAGAGGGCTTGGAAGTCAATCGATCGATATACATTTCCACATTTTCGCATCGAGCTGTGGTTCACACAGCTGTATTTGCCTGGGTTGTTTATTGGCGTTAACATTGAGGTTCTTAGAGCTGCGGGAGCGATTAGCTCCAGATATTTATCATCATGGTTTCAGACAAGTCAGTCTCCTATTCCCTCGCCGTGATAAGCGTCGGTTGATCGTAAGAAGGATTGCCAGGGCTAACATTCTGTTCCGTGCGTGTAGATATATCGGATTGGCACTTGCCATTGTGTCTACCATGGCTATTGGTAAGTACACATTCGTTCCAGTGGTTTTCGCCCCTGCTAGTGGTGAAACCCTGTACTCACAATTGTTGCTGTGTAGGCTGCAGTTTTGTAATCACTAAAAAGGTCCGTTATCACCAGCCTAATCTCCACCCGCACATTTGGAAGAACTAAATGCGCTCAAATTCTTCCGTTTTCGATCTGACATTATGTATTGTAGGGCCTAATGGACGCTTCTAGTAGACATGGCTTTGAGGGAGATGGGTTTTCATACTTAAAGAGTCCGATATGGTGGGGGGGGATAATAACGTGTATGCATCTTCTTTTTCACACGGTTACATCACCAATCATGAATATCGTGCTGACGCTGGAAGAAAATTAGTGGTTCTCGGAGAAATTGCGAATTTTGCAGCATACGCCTTTGCGCCTGCGATTCTAGTGACGCCTTTGGGGGCCCTCAGCGTTCTTATAGGGTATGAAGCCCTGGTTGTGGTCCGTAGCGTTCTAGTATACTAACTTCGTTCAGTGCTGTGCTAGGGGCATATTTTCTGGGAGAGCGATTGGGAATACTTGGAAAACTGGGCTGTGCAATGTCATTACTTGGCTCCGTCATTATCGTTCTCCATGCACCACCAGATGAAGAAATCGAAACGGTGGATGAGATTTTAGAGTACGCTATTCAACCAGGTGAGTGTTTTCCGTGCCAAAACAAATTGTTCGGCGACACTAAGTATCGACGTAGGCTTCCTTCTTTACTGTGTAGTAGTTGCCATATTTTCAACAGTTATGATATATAGGGTGGCCCCCAAATATGGGAAGAAAAACCCTCTCATCTACATCTCAATTTGCTCGACCGTCGGCTCAGTTTCTGTTATGTCTGTCAAGGCATTCGGAATCGCGCTGAAACTTACCCTAGCTGGTCACAACCAGTTCTCGCACCCATCTACGTACGCCTTTGCCATTGTTGTTGTATGCTGCATTTTGACACAGATGAACTACTTCAATAAAGCATTAAGCCAATTTTCAACCTCGATGTGAGTTTGGGAAGCTTATTCTTCCTTATTAATACACATATGCTAATTCTCCTCGGCAGTGTGAATCCTCTATATTATGTCACTTTTACGACCGCAACGCTATGTGCCTCGTTCATTCTTTTCCACGGCTTTAACACGACTGATCCAGTCAACACTATTTCACTTCTCTGCGGCTTCCTGGTTATCTTTTCCGGGGTTTACCTCCTGAACTTATCCAGGACTGATCCCGATGGCCTTTCACTAGCTGGAAAAGGCGGCGACGACGATGGCGTCCCCACCGATGGAATTGCATCTATTCAGACCCGCCTGTCATTGCAGAATCGAAGGAGTATGGACCGACATCGACGGAGCTCGTCGAGTCTTGATTATTACGGAGGTCCTAGTGACCGTGAAGGGCTCATGCGTTCTTATGATGTCGAAACAGGCGCTTTCGGCCTACAAGATCTTACGGAAGAGAGTGATGACGATAATCAAGAGCACTCGACGCAGAAACGGAACGGCTCCGCGCTCCCACCAACCTCGTCGAAGGTTCCTGAGTCATGAAACAAAAAATTCCTGAGGATCATCCACGCTTTTTTCCACCCTACCTTGCTTCCTAGTTTCCCCGACGTATTCTGCCTGTTTAACCAAAACCAAAATCAAACCTACCTTTTCTTCCTCAACCTCCCTCGGGTATATAAGGTTTTTTTTGCCTATGACATAATGGAAACGATCACGAAAAATACACCTCTATTTGTGACGATCCATATTCTCGCCCCCTCTCCCTCCTTCCCTTATCATGGTTGTACAGGCCGGAGTGGGTTCAAACAATCAAACATCAACATCGTTCTATGATGCGGAACTATATTTCCTTTCATTTTCCCTTTTTGTTGCCAATCGGTCGAGTTTTGGGGGGACATATTTGATCATCTGGGTTAGGCTAGGGTTCGGTCAGGGCTATGTTTGTTGGGTTCAGGCTAGGTAATGAATCTCTCCCGCACTTATATCTGTCCTCATGCATTGTAGAAAGCTGGAGTATTATGGCGTTCGTGGTTTTGATGCTGTTACTCCTTTTTTTCCTTCTCCTTTACTTGCATTTTTGTGAGGGGGTTCTTCTACTTGACATATACGTCTTCTTTTTCTCCGTTTATTACATTTCTCTCTTGTTCCTTTCGCAGCTTCACATTATCCTTTGCTTGTGGTCCTTGTTTCGTTCTTAGTTTACGTTCTTTTTCACGAAACGACCATCTTGGTTGGGTTGAATGTGAAAGGAAAGAAACACGGAATTACCTACCTAGGTATGAACATGGAAAATCCAAATAGGTACAATCATAAAGGAACCAAACATAAACCGGCGACGATGACGTCGCGGCCGTTATGATGAAGGAGCCATCTTTTTCAACCTTCCTCTCCCTTGTTGCTCGAGCGCCTCTTTCAACTTACCGCCCTTTCTCCATTGTAAATATTTCCCTTCCATCTGAGCCGATCTCTAGATCTATTATCCACCGGTATATTGTAAATATCTGTACTATTTTTGATTCTCGTAGTAACACTAATACTGTACATACATCCATTATATATGACCCTAATCTGTCAGATTTGACTCAAGGTCACATACTCGTTTCTCATTAGCGTTTACTTTTGCACACACTCATACAAATATACACGTATCCGATTTGTTAGATCTATATACAAGTAGGTTAGATCCACTCGATTTGAGACTACTGCACCAGCAAATTATTTGATCTACCCACAAATACACATACATGCATGCACATTCAAGTGGCGAGAAACATCATGTGTTATCACGTCTCTCTCAAGGTAACAGTGATGGGGTGTTTAGATCTGAATCACTCTAGATCAAGAGGGGATGAGGATGCGGAGAGAGTAAATTGAGGAAGTCATGTAATGTAGCCAATAAGTAAGTCATTGATGTTGTGGTACAACCTCCACCATTCGGCTTTTCGTGGATCAATTTACGAATATACATATGGTACTTAAAGAGGAAGCGTAAGCAAGTTGGGGATATAAGACTTGGTAACATCGGAACTATAAAACTATCCTACTACCTAGGTATCTCCAAGGTCAGCAGGCGTTGATGGCGTGAGTGACGTAACTTTCATGGCCAACTAGCCCGATTGAAATCAGAGCTGCTCCTCGACAGAGATCCGATGGATGCCGGGATCCGAGCAGGTAAGTGGACGTTCTGATACCGAAATGCGGTGCTCGTTTCGCAGCTCGGAGTCAATTATTGATATGGGGTTTGAAGGGTGCATGTCCTTGCAAAGTAGCCAGCTCACGTAGAACGGTTTTATTTAAAAAAGTAAGACAGTTTTCCGAATTACATGTATGCCATGTCCTGCTGTGACAACGTCCCTTCACCTCCATGCTCCCTTCCTTGCTTTGGGAGCCGAAACGACAATTCATGGAGCCAATTAATCAATCAAATTTACCACGTATCAATTTTCTTCCTAGATCGAAGTTACGTGCTGTTTGCGCGCCATATTGATCGCCCGTTTGATCATCTTCACTGTCTCAGCCAACGCCTCCATAGAGGTGGAGCTTGGGACCTCATGGCCACCGCTATGCTTGTATGTAACCACATACGGAGACCGACGTAACTCTAGAATAATAGCGTCGAAATTTTGTAGATACGTGTCTTCCTGGCCCTAGATAATCGCAGTTGGGACATGAACTGGGTCCTCACTCCGTGTAGTGGTGACGTAGTGAACCTCCCCTCTAAGGAGATCTTGCCATGAAAGAGGTAGCGCGCCGATAGTAACATATTGCATTTGAGAATGGGATTGATGCGTTAATTCACTGGGTCTTCCTGATATTTGTGGATGCCCTAGGATGTAGCGAGCATAGCGCCTTGAGAAAAGCCTATGACGCCGTCGAAAGGGCCTTCATCTTCGATGTATTTGCCTAAATTGTCAAGGGCTTTAAGGACGATTTCTGGCGAGTTGGGATTGTAGTGAGCGAAGGTATCCTCCTTCGACGTGACGAGAGATGTGATCTCTAGAGGCTGGGTTGTTCAAATCACACCCGCGCATATGAAGGTTTCGCTGGATTAACGCACATACGTACCTGGGGCAATTGGCCATGGCAGACATCTCTCAACAAAGTGATACTCGTGATCACCGCCTAATTCATATCGTATGGCGGCTGCATATGAAGTTGAAGAGAGATTGTCAGCTGGGCAAGGTCAAGTATGATCAAGTGATTACTTTACCTGTCTGGATTCTGAATATCTAGACACAGCTCAAGTATTAGCAATGGCATAACGAGTCAAGAGGACGTAGAAACACATTTTTAGCTAGAATCACATCGTGGCAATGGAGCTATCGCCTGGCTATTCGTGCCAGCACCATGAAGGCACAGAAACCGCGTGATGTATCCGACTCAAAGCAAAACAGTGCTATTCTACGCGCTCAACCGCGACCGAGTTGTTCGAACGTCTGTAGAAGGATGTATATTTGGAGATGAAAAGTCACAAAGGGCAGTAGTCGATTCTCAGGGAATGAAGGGGGAAACCAGTTTGTTTTGGATCAAAAGGAATATAAATATTTGTCTTATCACATCTGATGGACTTGAGAAAAGGGACGTGGCCATCCCGGCATGTCAGAATGAGCCCGACGGAGGCGGAAACTTATACAGAAGCATGGGACTAGTATGAGTTTCCTTTGCAGCATGTAGCTGTTCCGATCGCCAGGAGGATGCAGGCTGGGGCAAATTTTCAAGTGCTTTTCTTGTGTTGACTGTATAAGTAGAGGGGCTTTTGACCAGAGATCCAAGCAATAACAGCCGCTCGGGCTGCTTTGAGTTTTGGGCAGGTGGAGCCAATACAATTGACTTCATCGCAAGACAAGAGACCAAGCTCCGTAGCTTGCATTTCAACGTTCCTAGTGACATCTCCCTTGTACATGTACATGAGAGCACAGATATGTACATACATGTTTGCAACAATGCTTGAAGGGGAGATTGACACAATGTAAATTCATATTGATCCACATTCCTACATTTGTGTCAGGGGACAAGCTCTTTCTCTTTCTTCACCGGTAAGATATAACTAGGTATAGTATTTGTGCTCAGTGAGATGTGTTGGTTTGTCCCAGACAGCAGACTTCAAAAAAATGGCTCTTTGAGATGGAACACGTTAAAAAAGATCCCGATGGATGCCGAGACTGGAGGCTCCGTGAGTTAGTCAGCATCAACCATCAAATCGCCAACTTCATAATTTTGTAACAGCACCAATTGACTCAGAACATGTGCAGAGTCCACGCATACCCTGTACGCTGTTCTTCTTCAGAAACATTGATGAGCAAAAGACATCTAGTCCAATCTCAGTATATGCTGTGTCCAGAGACCATCACTCGGGCTGGTCTACAGTATGATATTTTCTACATCCCAACCACCCAACAACCCAACCATGGGGGTTATTGCACGAGTGGAATATATGGATCTTGAACTCTGTGGGAGACATGACACTGCCAGAGGCTTAAAAGTGTTTGGCCTCAGACGCAGTTGGCTAGTGTTTGCTATTCTTGGGGTCAAGAATATACCCGACGACAACTTGTGTGAAAAGTTGAAGCGTAAATTTGACAATTATATCACTTGGATTTTTTCCTCTCTTGCAATTTATATCATCTTCGACAGCTATTGTGTCGGGAGCTCCAATACAATTTACCGTCCTAAAGTCTTGTGTTTTGCCTGCAAGAGTTATTTCAGAAGAGCCGACTGAGAATCTCTGCTTGCCTGTTTAAAGTCTGATTGGCAGCTTTCACATTGATCGTTGAGACTTCACCACAACAAGTTTCCATTTCACGAAAGATAATTTTCTCCAAGTGAAATGCTAACTATATTTGTAGTGGTTCTGTGAAATCAAATATAGGCCACTTGAAGGAACTAGTCGGCTCACGGGCTTGGGGAAAGCGAAATTAGCACTTGAGAGGGGAATAGTCTCTCCTAGTGCTAATTTTGAGCGTCTGAATCCTAAAATTGACGCTGACTACTTGAACATTGCTGTAAGTGAATCTTTCGCTATACATTTCATAGTTATTGTCGACAGGTTCCGCAAACTGGAGTGCCGTGGCCATCGGACGGCCTTCGTCGAGCATCGCTCAGTTAATTTGGTTTTGGCGGATCCGATTGCCACGTCGTGATCGAAGATGCATACAATCATCTACGTTTGAATAACCTCACTGGAAAGCACTCTACCGTTGAGAAGCCTCCATTACCGGAGGATATAGCTCGACGTTGGAAAGCTTCCTTAGGCCATTGTTATAACTCTGCTACAAAACTGGGTGGTGTTTCCGGGTTTTCCGGAGGCAGCGAAGACCCTGACGGAGGACTCGCCGACGGATTGGAGACAAACGAATCCATTTACCCCAGATTACAGCCCAGACTACTTGTTTGGTCATCTTCTGATAAAGAAGGGATATCTAGGATTGCGTTGTCATATTCTCAGTATCTCCATCAACTCTCTCTTGAGCAGGGAAAGAAATCTTATCTTGATAATGTCGCCTACACCTTGGGGACTCGACGAAGCCTTGTACCATGGAAGTCATTCGTTGTTGCTGATTCTCTTCGAAATATCAGTCTAGAAACTTCAATGTCGAAACCAAGGTTATCGACTCCGAAATCGTATCTGGGGTTTGTCTTCAGTGGCCAAGGGTCGCAATTGTACGCTATGGGAAGGGAATTGTTATATTATCCAGTATTTAAGCGTAGTCTCCAAGATGCTAATGAGTACCTGCGCAATATCGGGTGTCCTTGGTCTCTGTTAAGTTAGTATGGCCCTTCCCACCCTGCATCCCTCGCGTACTTACTTGCGTTCGCAGATGAATTTCTTAAACCTGAGGATGAATCTAGGGTTAACGAGCCAGAGTATAGCCAGGGCCTGTGTACTGCACTGCAAATTGCTTTGATCGACCCTCTCGCGAGTTTCGGTATTTTTCCTTCCGTTGTAGTTGGCCACTCATCCGGGGAGATCGCGGCTGCATACACTGTCCATTTCATCTCACGTCGGTCGGCATGGAAGCTAGCTTATTATCATGGTGTTCTCTCTTCCACTTCGAGTAGAGACACTCACACGATGATGTCAGTTGGCCTTTCCGCAGTCCAACTCTCACCATACTTCGAGAAAGTCGCAGCCAATTCGAGAAGTTAGAGGTTGTTGCTGCATGTATAAACAGTACGACAAACACAGCGGTTTCCGGATTGGAAGCGCAGGTTGACTTTCTGGAATCAATATTGGATAAAGATAGAATATTTGTGCGAAAAGTTGCGTGTCCCAGTGACATACCACTCCCCCCAGATGAATGTTATCGCAGAAGATTACCTCAAAAGCTATTCAAGACTTGGAATTTGGGGAGGGAGGTTCATCAAATCCGGTCATGATATCTTCTGTTACTGCTCGTCGTGTTCACGCAGAGGATGTCATTCACAGCGAATATTGGAAGAGTAATGTGGTATCCCCAGTCAATTTTTCTTCCAATCTTGCTCAAGTATGCGGCCGGCCAAGCCAAAAGCCAACAAACTGGACGGAAACCATGGAAAAATTATTAGTATTTCTGGGATCATTGAAACCGGGCCACATTCGACGCTTCAAGGGCCAATTCGGGATATTCTGAAGTCAATTGGGCGGCAAGCCGATATTGGATACATTTCTCTTCTTAGACATAACACTTCGGCAATAGCATCTACAGTAGAAGAAGCCTTGGGCTGCCTTCATTGCTCAGGCTATACGCTCAACCTGCTGTCAATCAACAACCACTCAAAGGATGGAGACATATCAAGTGAACTGCAAGTGCTGGTAGATTTGCCTAGTTACCCCTTCACATACTCACAGAAGTACTGGCACGAGTCTAGAGCGAGTAGTACGGGACACCGATTACGGCAACATGGGCGTTATCTCGGGACTCCCGTGCCCGACTAGAACCCGTTAAACCCGATGTTGCGGAATATAATATATAATCAAGATATCAGAACTTCCATGGGTCGAGGATCATAAGGTATGTGAGAACATCCCGTTGTCTTCTGAATATTTATGGAACAAGCAGTACTGAATTTTTAGATCAACGGAAGAATTATATACCCCGGAGGGGGCATTCTAGTGATGGCAATTGAGGCTGCGAAGCAAATTGCAGACCCGAATTGTACGGTGACCGGCTATAACGTTAGGGACGTCGTATTTCAGGCAGAATTAAATATTCCAACAAGCTCCGATCGTATCGAAACTCGGTTTTACATGAAATCTATCAGAAGTTCACCGATGAGGGTGAATGGTTCAAGTTCAGCCTTCATAGCTGCAATCACGATAAGTGCACTCGCATGGCTACATCCAAATTGACTACTATAAACAGGGAGCACTAACATGTGCACCTTGAATGAAACAAGAGAGACGACCACATATTATACGCGAATATATCAACAGGGCCTGGTAGTTTGTAACACTCCTGCCACCACAGACTTTCTCTATCATAATGGATCTGAGTTTGATTGCGGGCCCGCATTCCATCGACTAACGAATGTTGCCCGTAGCGGGGACGGTCAGGCGATTGGAGACGTTTCCTTCTACTCATCCAGAAGTCATAATACGCCGTATACTCAACCACATGTCATCTGCAATCGTTTCGACTGCGCTAGCCACAAAGCTCTCCATAGTGTTAGCAATTCCTGTTGAAGACACTAGATTTCAACAAGCCTATACAAGATTTCGGTGCAGATTCGTTAGTTGCAGCTGAACTCCGCAACTCGTTCTCTCGAGACTGGGGTACTGAGGTCGCAGTCTCTGACATCATCGGTGGTGCGACGTTCAAAATGACGGGGGCTTGGTAGCTAGCAGGCCTCCTCATAGACAGGCTACTTGGACAGAATGTGACCTGTGTTTTTGAAGTGCGATGCAGTGAGTGTGGGGAGTGTCTGGGGGAAAGGGGAGAGAGAAGGGCGTGGGGAGGCAGAATCACACTGAAGAATGTGCGGTGGACGTTCATTTGAATACCATTGTTCTGACACCACTTCCACAAGCGATGATAGCATCAAGATGTCCTATTCCCGATTCTCCCAACGGTGAAGTCAACCAAATCGTAACAATACAAAGTCAGCTTGCCAAATGTGATATTTGGATGAGCGGGAACGAGCCATGGATAATGAAAACTTAATTACATCTAGATTTTACGATTTGGAATTTCAGTTCGGGATTTGCCTAGTATCCCAGTATCCCACAAATACGCCGGGCTAGCTCAATCGGTAGAGCGTGCGGCTCTTAATATGAGTTTAGACTTTTCGAACCAAATATTCGAATATCCAACCCAATTGATAAACCGCAAGGCTGCGCAGGGCAACTGGCTGAAAGCGTTTCGTTTCTTTGCCCTTCAGAGGCCTATCAGACACGCCGAAAATCGCCGTTCACGTTACCATATCCTTCCGTTCGCGAATTTCCAAAACTAATTTGAGCCTGCGAGTCGGAATGGGGCTTTGATAGACAACATTAAATGGCAGCACGATACAAGAACACGATTGCAGGTAACCGCCGTCAAAATTTCCCGAGGACCAAGAACCATGGTAAGGTACAATAAGGCCGGGTAGGGCTATTATATCTTTCATAGCCTGAACCTCTCTCTCTGCTGTGCGCTTTGGCTCCGTGATTTACAGAGCAACCGGGGCTCCGAGAAATCCATGCCCGCAAATTAGCTTGTCGAGGAGTGGTCTCGTAGTGGGAATGAATAGTAGGCTGTCGCGAGTGATATTGAGGCATCCTGTAAGTGTTTCTGAAGATTCAAGCGGAGTTGGCAAAGTGAAGGTGTTATAGTTAGTTAATCCATATGCATCAGATCAGATAAGCTTCTTACGACAGGCTTAGTTAACTATAACTATATTACGCTATAGTTACCTATTTCGAACTAGTGTACCCCCTCATCCGTCATATCAGATGGTTCGACTAAACCCTAATCGAATCTTCCTGCAATTGACTTCGAAGTCGGGCTGATAACGGCGGCTATCAGAACTTACCTGATGCAGCAAAGAATAGTCGGATTCCGACCTTGCTATAGTAATAAGACAAGGCAATGCCGGGGTTGGCCAGAAAATTGTGGATTTTTGCTGCTGTGGATGGGCTTATTCTTCAGTCTTACCCATCAACACAGCGCGGTGCTTCGAGCAACCCATCCACTGCGCTCCAGATTGAATACAAAACTCGCCGTATATACTCCCCGCCCTCTACCTCGAGCGCTGATGACGCTTGCTTAGAGTCTCACGGGGTAATTGGTGTGTAATCTCAATCTGGATACCGTTGACCTCTTGGAACCTGACAGTTTTCCTCTAACCTGATAGGCCTTCTCTCACTCGCGTCATTCTCCTTCTTAATATCCATTACCCAGCGACAGCAGGTGGCTCAGATCCTTGGAAAACCTATTTTTGCCATTACAGGTGTAGCTATCATTCCTCTTTCCTCTCAAGCTGAGGCGACCAAAGCGATCAATCAGGCACAAGCCCAGGTAGCTTCCAAAAGGGATAAAGATGCGAACGATGATGTCGAAGCCCAGTTTTCGGAGAGCGAGACCGACCCGTCCACTGGCCGCAGTAGCGACGATATAGAGCTAGAAGCCCCGGATTCAATAGACCGGGAAATATACCCGCCGTTGGGCAGTAGGGGTAGGAAAGGAAGCACTATTGCTGAGGACGTCATTGAAAAGCGAGGACGGTATGGGAGGTTCACGTCCCGTTGGTTTTCGAAAAATGGATGGCCGGGAGAGAATAACCGGCCCGATGGAAGTGGATTTGAAGGGGTAATCGATCCTGCAGCAGAAGGGTCCGTCAAAGGAAGAAAGAGCGGGGATTATAAACACGAAGTTCTAGAGCTCGACGACCTCTCCTCTACCGGGCAGAAAGCTTCTTCTGCTCCGCAAGAAATAGACACTCCAGTAGCCGGAACGGCAACGTACGAACTAATGCCGAAGTTTCTACGGTATACGAAGCTATTTTTCAGTTCGCGCAGTTTTTATTTTTCGTATGATTACGACATCACTCGGAAATTTGGTGTCCATGACCCTCAAACCACGCCAGTGCCGTTACATAGAATGGCGGATCCCGTAGTATGGAACCTTTTCCCTTCGTCCCTACTTTTCGAGCTCCACTAATTTGACTGTAGTATTTCTGGAATAGATATTTGATGACCCCTTTTATTGAAAGCGGGCATCATTCACTGGTCCTTCCGCTGATACAGGGGTTTGTTGGACAGAAGGAATTCACTGTCACGAAGTCCACGAAATCTCCAGTCGCTCAAGGCGCCACGATTACCCCAGAAGTGGAAATAGCTACCAATACACCGGATACACCTACTACAGAAAATGAAGACGAAGGCAAATTTCTTCTCACTTTAATTTCACGTCGGTCCGTTAAACGCCCGGGACTTCGATATCTTCGACGAGGAATAGACGACGAAGGCAATGTCGCAAACTCCGTTGAGACGGAGCAAATCGTATCTAGGCCGTCGTGGAACCGCTCAGACAAGGTGTATTCTCTTCTCCAGATTCGCGGGTCAATGCCTCTTTATTTTTCCCAGTCTCCTTATTACTTCAAACCCGTACCTGTGCTTCGCCACTCCATCGAAACAAATCAAGTGTCGTTCGCTCGGCACTTCCGTGACCTTAGCAGGCGGTATGGCGAAATTCAAGCCATCTGCCTCCTAGATAAGCATGGTGTAGAAGTTAAAATTGGGGAGACATACCAAAGTTTCGTGGACACTTATAATAACCGCGACAATGCGGACTCTGCTAAAATTGGATTCGACTGGTTTGACTTCCATGCGGAATGCCGGGGAATGAAGTTCGAGAACGTCCAGCGCCTAGTTGATTCAATCTCGGGAACACTAGATCGTTTTGGCAATTCTGTCATACAGGACAATACTGTGTTGAAAAACCAGTCTGGCATTGTCAGGACAAATTGTATGGACTGTCTGGACCGTACTGGTGTTGCACAATGTGCGTTTGGACAACGAGCATTAGAGAAGCAGCTCGAAAGCGAAGGATACTCTATCGACCTACGGAACAGCACATCTACGCAGTGGTTCAACGTGCTGTGGGCGGACAACGGGGATGCCATCTCGAAACAGTACTCCTCAACGGCTGCCCTTAAAGGCGATTATACCAGAACAAGAAAACGAGATGTTCGCGGAGCGCTCAATGACCTCGGACTAACCCTATCGCGCTACTTCAACAATATAGTCAATGATTACTTCTCCCAGGCTTGTATCGACTACCTTCTCGGCATTGTTACTACCCGTGTTTTCGACGAGTTCGAGATGAACCTCATGTCTGCTGATCCGGGGATTTCTCTCGAGAAGGTACGGCAGCACGCCATCGACACCAGCTGCCAAATCGTGATCAGCGATGAATCCGAGGAGCTCGTGGGAGGCTGGACAGTTTCCAGTCCCCACGAGCCCAATACATTACGCTCATTACCATTCGAACAGTCCGTTCTTTTGCTAACAAATGCTGCCGTCTACTGCTGCCGTTTCAACTGGGATACGGACAAAGTTACTTCCTTCGAGCGCGTCGACCTTCGCTCCATCACCAGCATCAATTACGGCACTTACATCACCTCGACCCTCACTGATGTCCAAATGGAACCCAAACACAATGTCGGAGTCGTAGTAACTTACCAACCGGCCGCGACAAATACAATGCGCGTAAACACGCACTCCCTCCAAAGCCTCTTGGATCAGATATCACAATCCTCCTCCTCCTCAGAACCTCCCCCTAACAATACTTCGACTTCGACCTCGACCTCAACCACAGGTCCGGATTGGGACATCTCCTCTCTGTTCAAACCAGGCGAGAGTGGCAGTAAACGCCCCGTCTCGCGCTTCATGGCGTTCAAGATCCTCCCCCAGACCAACATGACCGCCAGAAACGCCCTTGACAATGTGCAGGTTAGCGAAAGGGACGCTGCGCGTGCTCTCTGTGAAGAGATTGAGCGCACTGTTATGCGGGGCGCGTCAGATAAAAGTGGTGCTGCCAGCACTGGTGGTTCAAGACACGTTGACAGACATTCGATGGTTGAGGAGGTGGAGATCATTTCTGTGGCTGATGCGAAAAAGCGGACTGGGTATTTGGAGCATTTGATGTTTGATATTAAGAAGTTAGTGTGGGCTTGAGAATATTCGGGGGACTTTGTCTTCGGCTTTTTGTCTCTCCTCCTAGGTTGGAAGTGGAACGATAAGGTGTTAGGGGGGGAGATTCCCCATTTCGTTTTCGTTTTTATTTCGTTGTAGCTAATCTTGTCCTACTTTGAGCATTTTTTGCTTGCCGCTGGTTGCTTGCGTTGCATCACACAGGTTGATACCCAGGTGAGAATTGTTTCGGCTTCCCTTCATAAACATACACATACACATCATACACTACACCGTGGAAGAACATCGGATCATAAATAATAAACTCAGTTTCATATTATGAAATTCCAGGGGGTTATCGATCTTGCTTGTCGTCAAAATATTGACGACGTGGAACTGTCTTTTTCACTGGTACCACATCCCCCACCATATCGGTCCAGACTGCCAGAATGTTTCCGTGCAATCTGCCTATGAAGGAGGTGAACGCCTTGTCCGGTGGGTATTAATTGTGTGTAGTGGTTTTATATTTACCACAACCACCACCAACCGGGAACGGTAACTCGTCGTGACTCGACTTCCCACGAGCCCGTAAGGGCTGAAACTTGAGGTTTTAAGCGAAGGTAGGTTTCATGGAAATTAAGAAGCTCGAGTTCGAGATGGAAATGACACCTGGTTTATCTGTACAAACCCACCTTTAAACGCATGATCAGGCTCAATTGGCCACCTAAAAGCGTGATCCACTTTCAGCAAAGCTAGAAGTTAATATTAGGGACCTTGGGCTCCTATGACTACATGTCGGCCTTGGGATCACCAAATCAGAGTTCATCGGCAATTGGGACCACTTTCTGTGGCAGCCGACGATCGTCTGAAAAGCATGTTCTAGAAGGGAAATAGAATAACACACCGGGGCATGGGCTGAAAGCTTAATCAGCGTCTAGCTTGATCCATCTCAAGGTCGCAGTATTTTTGGGGGCCAAGTGTATTGTAATGTACGTACATGTACAGTACATACATGGATGACGCGTACGGAGTTCTATTCGCTAGGTAAGACAAACGATTGACCTTTCTCGCCCTTTTCCCAGCAATGTATATATACATACGAGCAGTTTCACATCACCTGGGAGCAACCCGAATACTACATTTGATCAACGATCCCATTCATATTTTCGAGCACTAGGTTGATATCGAGTTTGAAAGCATCTCTTGTTCGCTTTCTCGTTCCCAGACCCTCCCCACGAGCCCGTTGTTTTTGTGTAAAGTGAGGGAAATGGTCCTTAACGGGAAATGATTCACGAGGACGCAAATGACGTGGCTAATCCCGCTAGTAGCATTTGCAGCGGAGGTGATTGATATGATATGTATTGGTACCTGAAGCAACGGCAACAAGGACAAAAGGGCGAAGAGCCTGATTAACTCCCAGGGATTGGCGGCGGTACGGTATATAACTTGGTAAATTTATAGGCGCCTGCACTTCTGGGGCAATGAACGTCATCAACAGGGTGGTTTCCTCTCTTCTGTTGTCTAAACTACATGCTTGAAACGGAAATAAAGCACAGAATAGACGTTGCTTGTTCATTTGTCTCGTTGGATGTTGGATGTTGTGAAGAGGGGCCGTTATGCCAAGCCCAGTATTCTGCCGACCGCCACCGCCGCACTAGCCGCTTCGGGACATTCCCACCAACCGCCAACCCTCAACCGTGCCATCACCACCAGCGAACATCCTCGCGCAAAAATCCCACCGCTTGCAGACAACCCTGCCCGCGCTTTCGCCTCTACTTTCTGTCCGGGTTGCGGGACTTTTCTACAGTAAACCAAGTCTGTGATCTCTGAGGTTGGTGCATGCATCGTTCTAACCCTAACCCCTTTGCAGGTTTCCCACCTCTATCTCCACACCCCGCCATCCCGCTAATATCTCCTTGCTTCAGAAGTCAATCGCATCCCCCATCAACGAACATTTAAATACCCCCCGGAAACCCAAAGCACAGAGTCGCGCTGTGATTCGGAATCTTCTGTATTGGCGATAGAGGCGCCCTGCCTGAACCTTCTCGTGGATTTCGTCGTTCGGTGATATTTGAATCTATATCAGCCCTCCGCACCACTTCCCCCTTGGGTGTCACCTATATCCCTACGAATATCTATCACCATGGCATGGCAACCGCAGGATCAGCCATTGAGGCAATTGGCTGGATTTCTAAATGATTCATTGAACGGAAGCGATAGCTCTGTCCGAAAACATGCTGAACAGGTATCTCTCCAAACTGCCTCTTTCCCCTCGGGCTCTTAATTTCTCGCCCCCTGCCACAAATGGTGCGCCGCTATATAGTAAGGAGCTATTGGGCGCTACAAGAACATTTTGCCTCCGTTTAAGGAAGTCCTTAGCTGACAGCTATTATTTGGCAGATGCTGGTGCAAGCTACCACGTCCCCAGATTTTGCCAATTATCTTACCTACCTGTTCAGCACCCCCCAACCCCCTCCTCATATCGGTTTCGATAATGATACTTATAATATCGTTCGGGTCGCAGCCTCATTGAACCTAAAAACTAAACTTAAAGTCGCATATGGAACTGTTACGTCGGAGAGTCTGGCATATATTCGTTCCGCCGCGCTGTCAGTCCTTCAAGATCCTTCACCACAGATTCGCAATTCGGCAGGTTCCATAATTGCTGAGATCGTCGCACGAGGTGGTCTTCTCGCATGGCCGACTTTACTAGACGAACTCCTTTCCCTTGTCTCGAATGCTTCGGGGTCCGTGCCAATTTTAACCCAGGAGGCAGCCATGTCAGCTCTTGCGAAGGTCTGCGAGGATAATAGAAAGCTGTTGGACAAAGATTTCCAGGGCCAGAGACCGTTAAATATTATTCTCCCAAGGCTAATGCAATGCACATCAAATCCGAGCCCAAAAATCCGCGCTAGCGCTTTATCAACAATCCACATGTTCCTTTCTCAAAGGCCGGATATTTTAATTGGCTCGTTGGACACCTTCCTTGAGCATGTATTCCAACTTGCCAGCGACCCAAATACCGATGTTCGGAGGACAGTATGCCAATCCTTTGTTCAGTTAGTGGATATTGCCCCAGATAAACTCGTTCCCCATATCGCGGGGCTAGTGGATTATGTACTCATGCAGCAGCATGATCCTGAGGACCCGGAATTGGCTTTGGATGCAGCAGAGTTTTGGCTAGCCGTTGGGGAACAGAAAAAGTTACAAGAACCCTTGGTGCCGTACTTGGGTAAAATTATACCAGTTCTTCTCCGCAGCATGATATATGATGAAGACGACGCGATACTTTTAGCCGGAGAAGATGATGACGCAGAAACCGAGGATAAGGTAGAAGATCTGAAGCCTCAATTCGCTAAATCTAAAGGTTCACGGTTACAGTTCTCCAGTGGTGATGGCAAGTCCAACGGTGATGCTGTGGATAAAACGGTCGCCGACGATGATGATGATTTGAGTGAGGGAGAAATTGAAGATGACCTGGACGAGTTTGGGGACGATGACCCCGAAGCGGAATGGACATTACGTAAATGCTCGGCGGCCGCGCTTGATGTTTTCGCCAATGTATATCATCAGCCTGTATTCGAAATAATATTGCCATACCTCAAAGATAACCTGCGACATGCTCAGTGGACAAACCGAGAAGCTGCTGTTCTAGCGCTCGGTGCTATTGCAGATGGTTGTATGGATACCGTTACACCTCATTTACCAGAGCTTGTTCCTTACCTCATATCTCTCCTTTCCGATCCCGAACCAATCGTCAGGAAAATCACTTGCTGGTGCCTCGGAAGATATTCAGAGTGGGCTGCGCACCTTGATGCGACCAAGAAGGCACAGTATTTCGAGCCGATGATGGAAGGGATTCTGCACAGGATGCTGGACAATAATAAAAAAGTCCAAGAGGCTGCGGCATCAGCCTTCACGAGTTTAGAAACGAAATCAGACGCAAACCTTCTGCCCTATTGCCAACCAATATTACGACAGTTCGTTCTTTGTTTCGAAAAGTACAAGGATCGTAACATGTACGTGCTTTATGACTGTGTGCAGACTTTGGCTGAAAGTGTTATGTCTGAGCTAGCGAAGCCAGAACTGGTGGAGATTCTCATGCCTGCGCTTATCCGACGATGGAACAAATTATCCGACCAGTCCAGAGAGCTTTTCCCCTTATTAGAGTGCTTGGGCTACGTGGCTGCTGCATATGGCGATGCTTTCTCGCCCTTCGCTCCGCCGATATTCGCTAGGTGCATTAAACTTATATACACCAATATCCAGGATTATCTTACGGCTGTTACTCACAATACGGGTGAGGAACCAGATAAAGATTTCCTAGTAACAAGTTTAGACATGCTTGGTTCGATTATCCAGGCTATTGATCCCCAGAAAAGCTCAGAACTAGTGACCACATCACAGCCCCCATTTTTCGAGCTTCTCAGGTTCTGTCTTGAAGACCCCAATTGGGAAGTGCGGATATCATCTTATGCCCTCCTTGGGGATTGTGCGATCAATATTTTCCCTACTCTCGAACCCGTCCTTCCTACAGTAATGCCCATCCTAATCAAGCAACTTGATCTCAACTTAATACGGGACGATGAGTCTGAGAACGGCCTTCGTGTGATTAACAATGCTTGCTGGGCCGCTGGCGAGATTGCTGCCGTTAGCAAAGCCGGTATGGTCCCGTTCTTGGAAAACCTCTATCAAGCCCTCACCACAATCGTGAGCAATGAGGAAGTCCCCGATTCTGTTAACGAGAATGCCGCGATGGCATTGGGCCGTCTGGGAATTGGATGCGCTGAGCAGCTTGCCCCGCACTTGAGAGAGTTTGCGGATATGTTCCTTCGATCAATGGCGAAAATCGACTTCACCCGCGAGAAGGCGAGTTCGTTCATTGGGTTCAATCAAGTCGTCCGGGCAAACCCAAAGGCTATGGAAAGCTGTCTTTCGGATTATTTCCATGCAATTGCGGTATTTCCACATAAATCGTTGAATCAGCCCCACTTTCAGGACTTGCAACAATCTTTCCAGCAGGTAAGGAACTTCCAATTTCCTTTCATAGATTATACCCCTACCTTCCTAGTATCCTAGAGTGGTCTAACACGCACACCCAATTTTACAGGTTCTTCAAGGCTATAAAGATCTAATCCCGGACTTCAGCTCGTTTATGGCCTCTCTACCCCCTCCCGTTTCCAGAAAACTCCAAACAGCATATCAACTCTGATATATCTAGCACCAATATGTCAATTATATTTTTATCATATCTTATGAGACAAGAGAATGGCTAGTCAATTTTATTAAAAGAAAAGCGTCCTTCCCCATGGCAATGAATAGTATGATAACACATTTATATCTCTTTTCATTCAACATATTCCTAAGAAGAAGCGGTTTATATCATCGTTTCCCCCAAAACTCTATATACTTTATTTCTCTCCAATGCATATTTTCAAGGGATCCCTATTTTCGTTTTACTAACTCTCCACCATCTCCTTGTTTAACTTTAACTCTCTAATCTCTATTTCTTAAGCTCTTGTTCTCTTTCTTGAGGTCTTATTCTCATCCGTTATGTTATTCCATGCTTTCAGGTCTATTTTTCTCGGTTTCATTCTTATATACTCATGATGAAGCGTTCGCAGAAGAAAACACACATGATTTATTCTTTTTCTCTCATATATTTCCTCTTACACTTCCTTTATGAAGTATTAAGCCAACCCATGTGGTTGGGCGGAAAGAGCTTGGACTCGGATTTTCTTGCGATATTTTTTTGAGAAATATCTGTAAGTGATGACATGACGTACGTGCGCATACGGAGAGCAAACGGATACCTTGCTGGATGTATGGATGTGTTCTGATGGGCGCAGTTGGTATGCTCTGGTATTGTTCTGTGGGTGCTTTGTAGCAGCCAGTTGACTCAGGAGGCCCCCGGTATACGATGCTGGACACCCACCTAGGCCCTGCGTCCATATATGGACAAAGGGAAGCTGCAGAACCCGGTGAGGTTAATGAATTAATGAATGATATATCTTTCTGCTATCCGGTTAAAGGGTCATATTAAAACTGGCGGAAGAAAGAGAAGGACCTGATATGAAGGACGGGAGTATGAATGGGATGGGATATGTTGGGGGGGAAGAGAGACAAAATAGATATCAATATCTTAACCATCCATTTCCTTTTAAGGCAGTGTCTGGCTGAATACGTAGGATCGTTTTCTATTTTCTACAGTTTCTTTCTTTATTTCGTCTCCTCCACCAGTTCAGCCAGCTACTGGGTTTTTACACCTTCAACCCCTTGATAGGCGACCTCATCTTCGTCCACACTCTTTTTTGTTCTACCTACCTATGGACTTTTGTTTTCATCATTTTCTTTCCCAGTTTCTCTATCCCCCTTAGTTCGTTCGTATTCTATTCATCTCTCAGCTTGCGTGCTACAGCGTGGTTGCCCCATATTCAGGAGAAGGCAATGTTGAATGGGAATGGATAGCTTCTCTTCCGTGGCGTTCTATCTTAGCAGATAGCCTTGGTATATACATATATATAGGTCATATGCCCATTCTCTTGCTCCATTTTCTTGCTCCTCTTTATTTATTTATTTTTTGTTAATGAATGGACAGAATATGGTGGACGCCAGAGCCTGTATCCTGTTTTTCTCCTGTCAAGTTCTTTTATGACAGGTATTTCTTATTTTAAATAGGTAGATAGGTATTTAGATAGCATATTTATCTTTAAAACTCATCAGATTTATCATCATACTCTAATTACGGATACATTTATCAACCTTCACTGGATTAAAGAACATTGGGCATGTTTTTCCTGTTCTGGCCGAATACTCTGTGCACTCCTCTCCATCTAGAGCTACCAGAGACCTTTGTGATCACAGAATAGAAGATAGGAAGGGAAACAAACCAGGATGAAGTAGATGGTGATGATTGGATACGCCAACAGTACTGACCTATCTCTCCCTTCTCCTAACCTTCAAATTGTTAAAAGACAGAGCAGATTGTCTCCGATTCTCTCACTCGACATGTTTCGAAGGGCACATGAAATGTTACAGGGAGCAGAGACTAGATAAGGGAGGGTTAGGACGTGTCAGTATGGCCACGTGCATTAACTACGAGTAATCAGGGTTGTCTTGTCTTAGTTAGGGGTGCACATTGTCTTGCTTTTCAAAGGCGTTTTCTTCGCCGGTCGCTGAGTCTGAGGATTTCTAGAATCGCAGAACGATGTGGTTGAAGGAGAGGATGAAGGCTGAGTGAGGGTGAGACACTGGTAATGGTCTCCTGTGTTCGCCTGTGCCAGTCCCATTTTTGCTCCGGAGAGTTGTTTTTTCGATATACCACTTGAGGGAACTGGAGACCTCAGTGTTTTCGTTTAATTACTTACTTCCCACTTCTAGCATTCTGCCAGATGGGCCAACTGCTCCTCTCTGTTCTAGGAGTCCGATTAAAATCTGTGGAAGAATATCGTGACGATAATGTCTTTGTCACAGTTGTGAATTGACCCAACTGCTCCAGGAAACCAACACAGAACAAAGACATGCAGAGAAGAGAAAGAGAATAAGATTATAAGAAAGAAAACAAGGAATCCAGAAAGGAAAAAACAAGCGAGAAACCTCGATCCTCGCTTCAAATCCGTGAAACAACAACGCACGACATATCTCTGCATCACCTTGCGTCTCAGGATATGCGTGCGCGCACATGGCTTTGGCTTTCTGCATTTGTTGCACAGAAAACACACGTGGGAAGATGAGAGATAACCAGCTCTTTGTGCGCTCTTTGTTGTCCTTCCCGGAGACTATTTCTTGTTTCTGCAATGCATGCGGTGAACGACACCATGCAGCCTCAGTTCGCGTAGATTTTGCGGGACTCGGAGGCACAGTATCGCCAGCTCCCTTTTCCTTCCCCATATGCCGGGCAAAATTTCCCACGAGCCCTTGAATGGGGCTTGCAATAGGGGGTTGTACCAACGTAGCAGAGCCTCAAACCAAGGACATCTTTGCATTCAGCTGCAAATGTACTCTGCACTGGACTAAGTAAACAGACAATTTGGTGCTGGTTTATCGGATTGGTGTGTTTTCTCCATTTCATTAGGAGACAAAAAAAAAGGAAGCCCGAAAGAGAACGTGTCCAAACTACTCTGTACATTTTAATCTTTTGAGACTTTGGAAAAAGCCTTGCAAACTTCATTTACCGGCCTTTCATTTAGTTAAGACCCCAAAAGATTGAGGCCATCGGCCCTGCCAACCCCAACCACCACAGCGGCAAGAAGTCTTCGGCCCAGCGACATAACCATGGAACCCTTTCAAGTTTCCGCCAATATTTGCCTGAACAGGCCGAACACATAACGATAGCGGCTCCGCGCTATCTGTCCTTCCTATTTGCTCGCGTGGATTCAGAGTACACATCCTGGCGGAGCCGCTCCCCCTGGACCCCTGCGGAACGAGGAGTTAGTTATTCGCCATTCCCTGGCTCGGCTGGATCTGTCGAAGGTCGATCATGATAAATCCACCCAAACATGCAGTTTCGGAAAATTGAGGGAGAGGGAAGGGAGAGAAATTGTCATTTCCCTCATTTAAGAAAATGTATAGTATGTACGTACATACATGATATTAACGGATCGATCGGTCTCCGGTGCTTGAGGTTTCTTTAAGCTTCTTCCTGTTGTCAATTCGCTTTTTCCAGAAGCGTTCTGGCACATAAGGGCTCGTATCCGGGAAGTCCATGATCCTCCGAAAGTATTCGGTCAGATATCTCCATATTTTTTCGTCTTCTTGTGATTCGGGTTCCATAAGTTAATGTTGTACAGACTAGTTATGTAACGACGGAGCAGGTCCGGGCGGCGAAGTATTTTACGCGACCCGCTAGTTAGTTAGTTACCTGCCTGCCTGCATAAACTGTTGTTTATGATTATTATTAAAGAAGATTCTGTTGGTTCTAGAAAAATTAGTGAGGGGTAACTAAAGAAAGTAGGAATTTTACAGTTTTCGTCGGCGTTGTGTCACCGGCAACATGAACGAGTTCCACAATCGATAGTTTAAATACAGAAATCTGATGTCAACTATTTTTGACATGAGTTGAAAAAGAAACACTTAGTGTTTTATTTTATTTTGTTGCATTTTTCTTTTCACTTTTAATTTTCTGCATTTGTGATCGGATATTGCTGGGACTTGTTTTCCCCCCTCCCCTTGTTCTGCACAAATAGCCGCCCCAACCCTTAGCTGGATTCTATCTTATGAGGTGGGACCAAAACGCCGTTCGTTAGTGCGCACCAACAGCGATGACGAGACCGCATTTTCACACTGCCAAATCTGAAGATTGGCAGTGAAACAACGTCAGATATGCGGTCAAGCAAACGACAAGCAGAGGGCCGGACTCTGTTTGGGCCTCCATCTCGATTGTTCATTATTAATCGAACCCTGACGGGAGTTTGCAAACAGGATTTCACGCCCCGACCTCCACGCTTCCTTTCCTTTCCTTTTTTTTTTTTTTGGGCTGCTACGGACAGATGGATGCGAAGGCAAAGAAGGTACAGTACATTTTGTATACTCCACATTTACTTCCCACTCCCAATCTCCAATCGAGTACAACCGTGACAGCAGAGATTCACCCACACTGGTCATAAACGAAAATTCCCATGATATTCAATGTCCGACCAATTCTCACGATGACATCTAGCGTACGGTGACGTACCCAGATTTGGCGCATGTGTAATTGGGAGAGATGAAGTCCTGAGCAGTTCGCCCCCCCCAGTATTCCTGTTGATCAAGCATTGCCTACAAAATATCGGCTAGTTTCCAGGACATGCTTAGGATGAATTGTTCTATCTCCGAACTTCAAGCTCGATTTCAATACATACAATTTGACAGCGACAATGAACAGGAGTTTAGACCTGGTAAATTATTGATAGATGGAAGAACTCAATCACCCAGTTTTTACCCACCTGAAAGGCCCCGAACATGTACCAAATTTCAAACAAAATACACCAACAATATCTGCCACAAATTAGGCATCCTAATTCTCCATATGACATTGATTGATTGCACACCCGCTAGGGGGAAGCGAAAGAAACTCCCCTCCGGTGATTCCGGCAGGCATGGCGCTTGGTATTTTCACCAGTCTCCCAGGAGTGCAGATGTATACAGTACATACGTCTACTTCCCGAAAGGGGTATGATCATGAAGGGGTTCTTCCACTCTTTTGAGTTTATTTTCCCAGCAACAGGTGTGGGACACACTGATTCTGAAAGTAGATATTTTGGCAGCGTTAATCGCCCTCTTATCATCGATCAGGGAAGTTGGAAAGTATTATTTGAATTGAACTATTCGACTAAGTCCCTAGGTCTTGCTATCTTAACCGAAGCAACTGACGCTCGAGTCCCAGCACCTCTGCCACCCGACTCTTGAGGGCTGGCGAAGCCTATTACTGCTCTTTTAGTAGCCGAATAATAATAATAGGTAGCGACATATTGCCCCGGCATTTTATCACGCCGCGCTGCATCGACAACATCTTCTGCTGCGGCCCGCAAACAGCCTTGAGTGGCCGAAGCAGGCTTTGACTTTTTTTGCTTGGAGGTATCTAAACTTGGAACCAGCCGAGTGTTCGCTGTAAGGAAGTAAGTTTCGCCTGTTCAAGCTCCGGTTTAGCACAGCCAGACATGCATGCAGCGCGACGGGCAGAAGTTATCCCGTTCGACCACGGTGGCCGAGAATCCCTCCAATCACGCCGACAAAACAAGGGGTCGGCTTGGTGTGGCAGTCAACGACAGGGAAGCATCAACGTTATCTCAGGCTGGTTCACTGCCATTCGTCCACGGTTGTGACACCAGGGCTTGAATTCATGTCCCAGGAAACAGAGGGACGTAGGCATGCTCCCTCTACAATCACACTGAGCCCTGGAGTGAGTCCCTGTGGGCTTTTTTTTTTTTTTTTTTTTTTTTCTTCCTGTAGCTACGCGTAAGTAGTTTTCGGCTTGACGTTATGCTCTGGAAATAGTTAAAGGAGCTAGCCAGCAATAGGCCCTGATGAGGAAGGTCGTTGATCGATGTTCTCTAGTGGGATATTACTCAGCTACGGCCGAAAGGCCTTGCTGGTTCATTCCGGGCAAACACTAGAATTCGGTGCTAAAGAAGCGCGCGCGGTGCTAAAGAAGTTTATACATGGTGCCTTTTCAGCTTGGACCCACGGCAGCACGCACACCCCGTTAAAACTACGTACAGTACATACACATCATTCTCAAATCTATTCAAGAAGACTTTATGTATTTGAATTTTTATATTTCTTGAGACTCTAGCTCATTCTAGCTCATTCTAATACTATTTCCAGTTTTTAACCCTCTAATCTACATCTCTACACTAAGAAACTGGGTGGTGTTGAGAAGAGGGACAGTTAGATTGAATTACGGAGTAGTAAGATGTGTGTATGTTAGTGTGTATTTTATTAGAGAGAGCACTAAAGTTGAATGTGTGTCCAAAAGAGTGGGGTCAAAAGTTGGCATCACATCCAACTGTAAATTACTGAGTTCATTTCTGCATGCTTTCACATGGTTTGTCTAGGATGATTCATGGGCTCTCAAACCAACAACATCAACCTTCATTAGTCCTCATTATAGCTCAATAAGGGATTTGCCCTTTGAAAAGTTGTTGGTGATGTTTGATGCTAGAGATAGATACCATTGTGTCCTCATCTGAAACAGGTGTAGCTGAAGATGAAATTTGAGCATTGCTCAGCTCAGAGTGAAAATATTAATCCTTTTACCTGTTCTGCCAAGTTTTTTCCATCTGTCTTCTTCAGAATATTCTGATTAGCAAGCATGTAGAATAAGATGTGTGCAGTCTGGATAGTGTGAAACGTATAATGGCTCCAGTAAAGATAGAACTACTTTTCTCCAGATAATTATTGTCTGGGATTTCAGAAAAAATCATCAATTTGCTCCCGTTGAAATTGCGCGAAACTCTCTTTGACCTCATATTTTGGCACTGAACAATAATATTCTGGCCAATTCCGTTGGTGTCGATCTACGCTGTACTGGATTGTTTTTATTATTCACCGGGCTCAGGGAACGGCATGGGTCGTATTCGGGAAGGGGGAAGGCTGGCGTCCCTGCATGTCTGTTTGGCCAAGCATTTTTCTTACTCGCTGGCTGCTTGCCAGTGCTTGGTCGCTGCCAGTGTGGGAATTTTTCATTCCCAGATATCACATGCATTAGTGCATACTATTTTTATCATCATGGCAGGCATCGTGTGAAACTGCGCCCACTTTTGGCTAAGTGTGGTTCGGGAGGGTGGGCAATGCTCTTGAAGCTTAAGGGTTCCACTTGGCGTTGAAAGCTTCTTGTTTCATGCTATCGCGGGGGAGGCTGTAACATGTCGCCCTCAAACTCCAACACCGCCTCGAATAACACTGAGTTCGACAGGTTTTGTTTCAGGATGCGATCATGTCTGTTCTAGCGACGGGTTTGCTTGATGATAAGCTCCGCCCGCTGCCAGCGGGACCGCCAACATGCAGAGTTGCCGGCCTGATGAGAGGTGAGAAGAGTTCATTCTGACGTTTTGAAGTATTCTTTGCGTCTACTTCGCATGTACTTGGGCACATGTACCTTGCCTTTTAAGCCTTTTCGTTAGGATATGATCGTTGTTGGGCATTGGAACTTTCTGTTTCGCTTGGCTTGACCCAAATCTTGGTTGCTTTTCGTTTCCCAGGACAGACGTCATATTGTTTTTTTCCTTCCCACGGTGGCGTCTTCTTTCTGCCTCAGCTCAGGGTATTACCCATAGTACTAGCCGCGGGCAGAATGACATGGGTTCCTAGTTGGGGATGGTGTGAAGGATACTAGAGTCAAGGAAGTTCTTCCTGCGGTGAGTCACTGCTACCTTAGTTGATTTCGAAACTATGGGGAATTATTCAGCAAAATGATGTCTGCTGGTCAATGGATGAATCTGGCCCAATTCTTCGAAATACACTGCTGGATTAGTAATACCGAGCATCACTAGGATCTAAGTATTCTTGCTGGGAGTTTTGATGGAGGATGGAATTAGGGATCTCCATGTGGCAAGAAGGTTAGTTAATCTTGATTCTCAACCCATGGTAACACCAAACTGTGTCCCGCATTCTTGGAAGCGAAGAGAAACGCCAAAATAGGTAATCGCCTGGGCCATTGTGACTAGTTCGTCAGAATACCGAACAAGAGAACTTTCGCGTCGGGCAGAGAGTTGCAAAAGGAATTCTTCTGGAATGGGTCAGTGCTTTGGAAGCCGTACCGAAGAGCCATAGAACGTGTGTTTTTGTAAAAAAGAAAAAAAAGAAAAGAAAAGTAGGAAGAGCCGGCAAGCGGGAAGGAAAAACCGAATTTGTTTGGCCTAATTTTGTGGAAATAGTTGCGGCAATGAATAAACAACAAGGGCGACCCCACCTTTTCTTCAAGTCAGGGCTGTGTCTAATAAATGGACAGGCAGACAACTGTCCGTACTTTTAATTGTTAGCTGGTGGTCCATCCAAAACGGCCAATCAGGAGAACTGTTTGTGATGTCAACTTCCTCAAAGTGCCGGCCAGATTAAGGTTAACTGCGCCGTCCGCCCTGCAAATTGCAATACGAGAACGTTATTCTTTAAGCACCCGACGAAAGGGGATCATGCCAAGGCGGACGGTAGATATTAGCTCGCTAACAATCGGAAGAATCAAAGACCATTATTATTTTTGCCCATAACGGTTCCATCACTGAACAGAAGATTCAAAAAATAGGATTTGAAGTTCTCTGGTCCCCCACTGCCGCCTCCCCCCAAAGCTTCTTTTCGCCCCGCCTGCGTGTTTGTGATCCGTTGGGATAATACCGAATCAATCACCATTGTCACGATGAAGAAGTGTTCAAATTCTGCCAATTGTTCATGGACGATAGAATATGCAGTTACAGCGTTTGCTCATCATGCGGATGCAAAAAGTAGATAAGAGGATAAGCTTTTCTCTGTTTCAGAATGAGACAAACTTTTGTGCGCTCTTGTGTCCTGATGATATCCATGTCCCATCAACTGACAACAGGTGAAGGTATGATTCATTGGCGAGTTTGACCACATGTTTGTGGCTAACTTTTGGCCAATGGAGAAGAGGGGTTGGCGATGCTGTGCCGCTGTCTTAACCCTATCCTATCGTAACCCAAGCATGCTAATTTCCAACTCTTCCAACGACGACTACGGAGTAGAGTGGGTACAGTAGCTTGCAAAGAAGAGATAAGTCATTCTGGGGAAATCTTACGCTAGTCATCGCTTGATTGAGCTGGAATCCACAAAATTTCGCGTCATCTGCGCGTCCAAGAATGATTGGGTTTGATAATCCAGAATCCATTGCAGTCAGGACATCTGTTCGAAAGCGATGAATTCATAGTGAAATATTTCCACCTGGATAGTCCAATCCTGTGTGCGAAACATTGCGCGAACCTCGTCGGACTGTTGGAATACCCAACTTCTCGCTGGTATCAATTCGATCCTCCTCAAACCACGCGCAACGGACGCGATTCTGGCCATTATTGGCGCCAGAGAGCTCTCTACACGTCCCTTGTTAACCGAAATCTTCAAGAATATTTCTCTTGCTGGGGATGTAACTTACCGCTGGTAATATTTGAACCTAGCATCTTCCTGAAGAAGAATGGTCCAATACGCAGTCATCGCAGGGCGGAGAATGGTGCAGTCTTGGCGGACAACGTGCAGGAAATCGCTTCCATCCGCAATTTCACTGGTGCTTCCGTCGGGGAGGAGGACAGGGTGGTTTGCACTAAACGGCTAGCGCATGAGTCAAAGGGCGCCTCGAGACCCGCAATATAGCCAAATTCCCCTATTAAAACGCCCAGAATCGCGGTTGACCCTTGACTCGATCCCAAGGGCCAAAGACCACACCTTGCCGTCTGACTGGGATCTTCCCCACCTCGCCAAGGGTCTCGACACGGCATCCTAATCGGGTTTAAATTTCGGACTGTCGCAGGGATTCTTAGCGTAGTGCAAAATGCCCGCCGGCCAAGCAAGTTACACATTTTAGGCTTAGTATTATTTTGCTTCTTTTTTCACTGTGAATTCAAGGAGTGAGCGTTTGAGCCTGACAGTCAACCTTATCATCTCATTAAAATTGTTCTCCAATCCCGTTTCAAGATCTTGCACTCTGCTCCATCACCATGCTTATGGGACCGCTGGATGGTTGGCACCCCTGAAGCAGCTAACGACTTTCGGCTCTAAATATTGAATCTTTGCAGCTTAAGTTGTTTTCAAAGTGTGACTTTTTCCTCTTCCATACTATGTAATGCCATGCTTGTTGAAAATCTGTGATGACTGATTCTGCTTATTCTCGAAGCGGAGATCCTCTTGAACCTTAGCTCGTAGTACCAGGGTGTCGAGTAGGCGAGGGCACGAGATGGCCCCGAGTAATTTGGGCTTTGGAGGTTGCAAAAATTCAGAGGACACCGTTAGTGGAGATTATAGCTCTCGTGATGTCAAGAAGCATTTCGCTGGCGGAACTGACCTACGCTTTCACGCGTGTAGATTGTGTTATTGATTGATTTTCCATTGTCGTTCCAGCCAGCCGTTGGTGGCTGCGATTGTTTCACAGGAGCAGAAGATCGACGTTCAGGAAGTGGCTGCCCTGTCCTGCTAGCGATGTGACTTGGTCTTGTTGTAAGCCTGTGTGATATGGCTGGTGGCCCTCAACAAGAAAATGAAAGCCAAAGACCTAATTATAGCGCAGGCCTCATCACACGCAGATAGGAGAAATCCAACGTCAACCAATACCCTTCACGGCCAGGTGCTAAAGCCAGCGAAATGGAAGCCCTCCACCAACAGAAATTATTCATTTGTTGATGTTGTTGAGGCTCATTTACAATTGCTTAGCCTAGTGTAACTATGGAGTAACTAGACTAGTCGAAACTCAAAGCATCTGCTGACTAACGTTTAAAAAAAAGTGCCACGTGGAGAAACGAGGGGGAAGAGAAGTGTGTGGGAATAATTCAGGATATCATTATTTGGGAATCAATAACATGGGGACACAGCGTTTGGCAAACCCTCTGATATCAAGGCTTTTCCGATTGTTCTGAGACAACCATGCAGCAGCAGTGTAACTTAGTAGTACACAGTATTGTAGTGTGCGAGAGTTGGTGGTTCCGCCGAATTCTCTCTGTAAGGGCTGTGCCATCCTTGCCTAGCAGCAACCGCATATCTCGTCCAGCCATTGTTCAATTGTTTCGTTGTCATACTACCTGGTCCACCAGCTCAGACATGTCCATTCTTTAGCTGATACCAAGTTCCACTTGGCTGTACTTCAACTTCAAACATGGTTGTTTGACAAGATAGCCTGCAGGCTGCATGGGTTGCACATGGGTTGGTGTTGTTGACATTGCGGCTGGACCATCTCGGGCAAATATCCCACGATAGATTTGATAGCTCATTCTGCTGACTTGTGCCTAGGTACTCCGTAGTTTAGCTATGTTGTCTGGGAGGTTTAACTAAGGCACAGCCGAAAATTAGTCTCACCAAAATTCAGAGGTGTGGTTACCTCTCTTTTTCCCGCTTGCAAACAGCAAAAATTCTGAAGCTCTCACTGGCCTCCAAGCCACGTTGTGTTTGACTACAACAACTCTGGCCGTGTCGGGTTGGCCATGACAATGGCCCATTGAGGATTGATGAGATGATGAAGAGATCGGTGCCGGGGAACAGCCGCCTCCGCCTCAATGCTTGGCAATCAGGGTCGGAAATCCTCCACAGTTGTCCCGATGGCCGTTGGCATTCCGCTCTTCCTGGAGAAATCACCGCAATCACCACAACCATGCAGCATCCGCGGATCTATGTCTGTCGTCGTGGGCGGATTAGTACTAATTAAACAAGATCACTTTGACATAGAGACGGAGCTAACCATCCAGAGCCTTTTTTTCATCGCCTACTTTTGACAGAGCCAACTAGCGAGCTTCTGCAAGAGTGAACCTCACAACAACACAACAAATGACGTCGACGCTCCAACTCCCACCAAATTAGAGAAACGGCAACCAGTGAGGGCGAGAGTGTCATCGAACCTGTGCAACCTCTGATCGGCAGGAAGTAATAAGAATTCATCACAGGAATTATAGCGTGGGCATGGGATCCGCTTGGCTCCTGGAACGAACCCCAGCCGCGGGAGCAGAATTGGCCAGGGGAGCAAATGCCATGGGTGGCTGTATGTGCATCGACTTACCAGATCTAGCATGCATGGAAATCATCCATGCTGTCTTTCCACCAGCTCGTGGCAGTCCCAACGACGGGTTTCAAGCCAGAGCGGGTGCTTCATGCACCAACCAGCCCCCAGGACACGCTGATGGATGGAGTCATCTGCAAAAAAGAAAATTACATGTTACATCTGAACCTGCTACTCCAAAATACCAAGTTTGCAAGTCACTCTTTGTCCAGCATATTCCTAAAATAATAGGGCGGCAAAATTACCATTACGCTTTTGTCCGAACTCCCTAAACTGAGCCTCTGTGAGGTCCCAGTTTGGAACCCACCAACTTAGCTTTTGCAGCCGAACCCGGGGCATTGATTAAAGATTGAACCCGTCGAAGCCTGACTCTCCACAAAGTAAACCTTTATTTTTTGCTTTCCCTGTCTTTGGCCTAGGCTGACTGCATTTTGTCTTTACCGATAACAAAGGGGCGCCCGTCCTTGGGCATTCTAATTGATCGGATCAATCCTTGACCTGGCAATCAGGCGCTGCAATACGGTCCATTTTATTTTCTAAAAAAGTTCATTTTTTATTTTTGCTTTTTTTCTCTTTTTTTCGTTCTTCATTTCCATTTTGCCCTTATTTTCTTTTCGTGCCCCGGTTTGGTGATTCGAATCTGTTCTGTGTTTCTGGCTATGCCTACTTTTACCCGAACCTTATCTTCACTGCCTATTTCATCCGCAGTCGAGCGTGAAAGCACCCCCTTGCCCCATCCCTCTCGTAACCCCACTCACCCGTTTTGCTCCAATTTACCTACTTTCGATTTACCGAAGCGTCTTGGCACTTTGCTTGAACTAAGGTAGCGCGTTCCTTTGCGTTAGCTGACTGGGTATGCACATCTCGTGTTGCGGTGCAAAAAGGAAAAAGTTATATACTTCAACTTGCCCTCGGGGATCAGACCCAAGAAACGTTTTCCACGTTCCTGCTGATCATACTTCTTCTCGAACTTCTTGGTCGAAAATTATACGAAGTCATAATTTATATTTATTTCTTCCATCTTGTTACATTGCTTGTTGACTGATCGTATCACTTGAGTTTCAAGAAGCCCTCCTCCATACCCTTTCTCAACCCTCAGCATCAACTACTACTTTTAAATATGGCTGGACCTGGAGGTGGACCACCACGCAAGAGCCATACGAAGTCCAGGAAGGGCTGCAAGACTTGTAAGAGACGACATATTCGATGCGATGAGACCAATCCTCAATGGCAAGTTTTCCTTCCGCAACGGAAACGGAAGAATGCAGGATATAGAGCCAATAAACTAACACTATTTTGTGTAGTCGAAACTGTACAAAACATAATGTTCGTTGTGATTACATGGATAATGTTATCTCTCAGGAGCAAGCAGTGGCTCCAAGGACAGGACCGGATCTTCTTATGTCTTCCCAGATTGATATCGAAATCGATGCCTGGCTGAAGACTGGAAACCCACCCTTCCCTGAACTACAACTTAGCTCTAGAGAATATTGGTTCAAGTTTTCACGGACTGATTTGCGCCTTATTCACCACATCTCCGGACTTTCAATTGACCTACATCGCCGAGGCTATAGTAATTGCACAGTCTGGGCCCAGAAAATGCCCATGTGAGTTGAAGAAACATACTTTCATTTGACCAATGTCGTCCATACTAACTTTCTGGAATTTCAGTTTTTTGGCCATTGCGTTGTCTACCGAATTTGTCATGAGTGCCATTCTTGCTCTCTCAGCTTCACATCTGGCTTGGATGACCCAGAACCCCGAAACCGAAAACCTTGCTTATCACCATCGGGGAGTAGCCCTAAAGGGTCTCCATGAAGCAATCGGTGCTTTCTCACGAGAAAATTCAGATGCCATTTTAGCAGCATCAATGCTTTTATCCTGGCAAGCTACGGAATGGCAAGTACTACCCTCCCTTGGTTGACGGACTGGGCCACGGGGCTAAGTAGAATTTCTGTATAGGAGGAGTTGGGCCTCGCTTCAGCAGGGTGTCTCAACTGTAAGGAGTAGCCTTCCTCTGCTTTAGTTAGTGACATTCTGCTATTTGGTTGGATCTGACCACATCCATAGGTGCTTAACTCGATGCAGCCGTGGTGGAAGGAAGAGTCAGAATTGGCAAAATTTATGGATTCCCAGCGGGCCTTTCGAAGTGCGAGAACGCCGATATCACCAAGCTATCCTGGAGCGATGGGCCAGTTCCAAGACGAAGATCTTATGAGATTAGATCGTGTCGTGGGAAATTTAATTAACATTCACCAGCGACTTTCCCACAATCAGGAACATTATCAGAGGGTTACTGATTTGTTGAACTTTGTTCAGCAATTGCGAACTGATATGCCTGTACAATCGCCGGATAGAGCTTTCGAACGACTTCAACCGTTGCGAACGTGGCTCTTCTGGCTTCCCCCAGCTATGCTTCGAGGCGGAGAAACAGATCTCGGTGCACTTGCTGTGCTCTCGCAATTTTTCGGGATAGCATTAGCTCTAGAGCCCATTTTCCCTGAAATCGGAGGCTCCTACCTTGGCACTATGGCTGTCCTTCCAATCGAAGACATTCGAAGAATACTGCACGTTAGGAAAGCCTCTCAGCCTTTCGCTCCCGAAGTTCAGTTGGCTCTAGGCTTAATGGAGCTGCCCTGCGAGATTGTTGCGGAATATCGAAGCCGTCTCCATTGGTCGCCGAGAAATTCTTTCGATGCCTACTCTCCTGGGTCTCACAGTCCATATCATACTCTACCGAATCTTCATCTTGCATCCACCTCTCCATCGACAGGCTCCGGCTACTCAGCTTATACTACATCGCCACTCCACTCGCCCCTTACTCCTGCGATCGTTGCTTCTCCATACCAGATGCCAGCAATTATCACCTCCCGACGGCAATCTCAGGTTTACACAACGTCGCCAACGCTACATCCGGACCACACGGATGATCGGGTTGGGGGTGACTACAAGCACAATCCACAAACTCACTCGCCTATCTTCAATCCTGCTTACTTGGGAAATTTAATACATGGATCACCGGTCATGGGGACAGACTTTAATGAGTCTCCCACACTCAGCGTGTCAGGAGGGTTGGTCATTCCCGATCTTTGCTGAACTTGATCCATGCATCCATCTTGCACACGGTCCATCTATCCCTGCATTCCTCTCACAACACCAATCCCCATAGCTAAGAATCACCTATAAACACGTTTATATACACAAAATCATGGCAGAATTATGCGGCTGAGTCTTTTTTTTTATTTCCATTTTATGGAAATCCAGGGACCCATCTGCATCACGCCGTGGCTCTTTCGTGAAGCCTTACTAGTGCCCTTTCTACACTTATTTAACTCCCGACATCCCGAAATTCCTTCTCTTCGCCCCCATTCGTCGGTTTACGAAATGATAAGAGTCTGCGTCTTGGTGGATTTAACTTTCGATTGTTGGTAAGGATTGATGGACTGTTTTCCACATATGACGACCATATAGACGGACTTAACGAATGGGGTTCTTTTTTGTTCTTTACTCTAAATCTCTTTTTGAGACATTTTATTTGATGTAGGACATCTCTATTTCATACCCGTTTGTTACGGTGACTTTTATTGAAAGTGGAAAAGTAGCAACACAGAACCCAACGACTGGATTCCTTCCTTTCCTTTTCTATCAAATTATTCTTATACTTTTCCAATCAATTTGGGGCTTCTTACATGAACGTATACAAATTCCCCTTTTTTCTTGTCCATTCACATCTCTCTGATCGTCTAGTGGATATTTTTGTGAATTGTGTTATTCCTTTTTCATATTTGTTGGCATAATCTTCAACGAAATGAACAATAATCACATTGAAAGAACAAGTGGACACTCACTCCCGGCCCTTTACGCATAAAGCTTTTCGCCTAGCACTCAGCTTTTAGATATTTTGGGGATACATGTCTGTCCCACGCTATGGTTCCTCATCTTCACGTTTGTATCTGAGGCTAGATCGCTTCGTTACGAGATAGCGGCCGACCTGGAATCTTGTCATTCCTCTGTATTAGTTTGGGGGGAAGCGGTTTTGTAAAGATAACTAGGCGTAAAATTTGCAATGCGCAGCCGTTCCTGAAACAAAATTTTTAGTTTGCCATAAAATAGCACAAAAACCCTTTTAATTTTTCTCAAGTTTCACGTTGTAGATCAATCCGCAGCAAGGAATGTTCTGGCGTTTGGATGGCTTCCCTTGCTAGGTGAACGAATCACATCAAACCACGGGGGATTTCCCATTGGTGAATGGCACGAATGCTCTCATTTGTTGCATGCAGGGCTGTATCCCTGACCTTGTTCAAACATTGCCTCGGGAGCGTTTCGAAATTTCAGGGTTTGAGGTTGTCTGCTTTGCAGGCACAGGCACAAACCAAATAGCCTTAGCGTTGCCGGGGGAACAGGGACGGTGGGAGAGCTAATTTGTTTATGACCCAACTAGGTTGCCATCCAGTTGCAGATGCATTCTCTTCTGACTCTTCTTTCTCAGAAAATTCCTTGGAGGGAAAAAGAAACGAAGGTTGGATCCAAGGAGTCAGGAAGGAACAGCACCATAGTTACCTATTGTGGCTATGTTAGCTTACCCGCACAAGCTCAGTTTGTGGGGAACGAGCGACACCGATTCTGACACCTGCCGTCAAAATCGAGATATTGCTAGGATTGGAATAGGGCTAGTGGAGATCTGCTGTGGTCTTTGCCCAGAACCAACGACAGGAAGTGTAGTTCTCGTCGATGCAGAGTTGTAGAATTAGGAGATTGAAGAAATAGAAATCAAGCTCAGCCTCCTTTGATATTGACGTGCGGAGGAAATGGTGGCCTGGAAACCTGAAAAGCGACCGCAATTGTGAGGTTCAGAAGGCAACTAACCGTGCCAAACGCGACTCACTACGGAGTACCATTAGTAGAGAGAGTGAGTGCGCTTGGCACGGTTAGCGGTCGAATTTTGTCGCGAAAAGAAGCTCAGGTACTTGAACCGAGGAACCGACCGCGCTAGTAAACTTTGATTTCGTTTAAGTTGCACCAGGGTTTCTATTTTTGGAGCAAGGCAGACTGCGTCTCCCACTAACCGCTTTTGGTACCACCTTATTCGTCAACGACATGTCCAGATTCCTCCTCCCTTTGCATCGTTGCTCCAAACATGAGAAACAACCTATGATGAAATTGAGAGCTGTGTGGGGCTGTGGGCCGTGCATTGCTCTCGATACCCACTCTGCAATTAAGCATTTTTTGCAACATGCAGATCCATTTATCGAAATGCCGGCTTTGGGGCTGTGTGAGCATCAGTTGGCAGCAAGCATTGCGAGCCTGTGCTAGGTCATATAGCTGCTTTTGGCAAGCACCTGTTCTTTCTCGGCCGTACTGGTTTCTTGTCACATGCCGACATTGCCTCTACGGACCCCTGTTTGGAGAGTAATTGCTCGGTGTGGCTCCGGGTGTACTTCGTAATGAGTGCTGAAAGGAGCAAGGATGGGTCACATTCGCAGGCATCGCGAGAGCAGGCATCGCGAGAATTGCAGGCGAGACCACGGTAAGGCGGAATAACACGTTTCCAGAATGAAATTATTGTCGTCTTGAGAATGAAGTCCTGCCGTCCAATTGGGTGATATTAGGCGAGACGACGAGAGAAGATATGTGAGATTGACCAGTCCATTTTATTTTGGAACCGGATGCGCGCCGGCCAAGCTGAATTTTGCAAGATAGAGCTAACTCGGTGGATCTTTACGAGACTTGCCCCTTTTCACATTGTCGCCGAACACCGATGATACAAGCGTGGCCTTCTATCACTCGTCCTCCTGATGGTCGAACCGTCAGGACCGAATTCTGTGGATTCTGTTAAACCCATCCGAGAACTTAGCATCCGAGATATTATAGTGCTTGGATGATCACAATAGCGGCCTGCGATCAGCAACCGCTTCATTATTGACAGCATGACTTTGTCAATAGCAGCTGGCGCTTCAGTGCTGGTCTGTTGCTTCCCCTGTCTTGTCTGCTACATCCTGCAACTAGAGACCTGTATTCAAGAACGTTTCTGGAGGGAAAACCCAAATGAGAGCCTTGAGCGCCCTCCACGCCGATCCTCCAGCGGTCTTCAACCTAGTTTTGGTGCCTGTTTGCGGCGACCGCCCTTCTCCTTAGCCACTTCTGGGTTTTTGCTCTCCAGAATCAACGGAACGGGGATTGATCTGATGGTCTGGATTCAGCTCACTGGTGCTGTGTCGAAGATGCACCCTTTGCTTGCGTCTAAAATCTTCCACAGTTCTGTCCCACACCAGCTGTGACCTTCCAGATTGATCGGAACACACATTCAACGTAATCTTTTGTTTCTTCACCTCAGAGTTTTCCAACGGGCCACTATTCTAGTTTTTGGGATGAGATAGACTGCCTCTATCAGAGTGCAAGGTGCTTCTTGGGCTGCAATATTTCCTGCAGATGCTTCTGGAAATACTGGATCATTTAAAATCAATTGTAAGGATATGGCTAACCTTAGTCTGAAATTCATGTTTTCTATCTGTCGTTTATCCAACATTGTCCCGTTTACGGGGAATAGCAAGCGGAGCTTGAGTGACCAGGTGTCATTACTTGATAGTCTTTATCGTTTTCAGCTGTCCAAAGATCGTGTTGGCCCTGCCATTAGCAAGAGACACTACGCTTGACTTCATGAATTAGAAAATGAACCAAGTTTTCTCTTAGATTTCTAAATTGTTTATCAACCCGTCACAAAAGCAACGAGTCAATTGGTGCGGGGAGCTTGCACAACCTCAGTGGCAATGAGAACATTCATTTTCATAGCATGAAAGGTTAATTACCACCATTTTAGCTGCCTTCTTTTTCCTAGGCTAATGTATACGACCACAGGAAGCGAAGCAAGGCGAGAAGTTCGTCCTGGGCTAAATAGATCCCGGGCTTCCCCTGAGCGATACGCCGGCTGGGAAATTCCCTTTTGTTAGTTTCTCTTTGCATCTTAGGAACCTGATGTGGGATATTTCCCAACCGGGACAAATTGAGAGGATCTCTCAGTCCAGCATGCGGCGCTACAACGGAGGACTGAGTTCTGCTTTCCATTGTTGACTGAAACTTGAATTCTGTTTCTTTTGCATTGTCATTTTGCCCACTCTCCCTTTTTGTGCAAAAACTGTTCCTATGTTCAGCTCTGAGATGCTTCGCACATATGACATCTCTTGCCATATCTTCCACTGCATATTGGGCCGGCATACTTCTCTTAAAATTGGACAGACATGTCCCTCAGTGCAAGCTTCTGTTGAAGAGTTCTCTGTTGAATGCACAGAGAACCCGTACTGTATCTGATAACAGTATGATTGTATAAACTTCGCCTCTGCGGTTACACGCTGACTATACTTCACTTTGTTTACTTGAATTTATCGATTCTGCCGTGCGGCTGCTGGCTAAATACATATCAGGTCCCTGCTATTCTCTCCGATATTGCTCTCCTGGCCTACCCAGGCCAGAATTGATTCTCGAAATGCGATTTCTCACAATCCGAGTAGTTGCAATATATCGTTATGCTGCCTTGCTGTGGGCCCCCGCGGGCCTTTCAAGCGGACTATCTGGTAGGGCGGCCAATATGAGTTACCAGAGGACACGCTCTGCAGCCACATGTTGCATACGTACTGATTGATACAGGCTCATAACCTGATAATCAGAGCTCTCTTCATATTTCGATCTACCTAGAAAATGAATCATGATGACGCCGTAATTCCATACTAACTGGCCAAGCATGTTTTGGTTATTGTTGTAAATCAGATATTCACCTGCTTGCCAGCAGAGCTTTCAAGACTTCACTCTTTGATACCTCCATGAAAGTTGTTCAAGCTTCCATTTATACGTTGACATGTTAGCTCTTTCGCCATTTCATTATTCCAACGACCGCCTGTCCAGTGCCCTAATCCAAAATCCATGACGACGCAGAGGCATTCCCCACGCCATCTAGCACGGCATAAATAGCATTTGTCATTCTCCAATGTTGACCGCTCTTGCTTTAAGTTGTTAGAGAACTCTTGTAAACTTATCTCAATCTTTTTTTATATTCCTTCTCATAGTGATGGAAGTTGGGAAGGAAGAGGATTTGACACGCTAAACCACAAATAGCAAGTTTGCATCGGCCACAAACAGGCCTTTGACATCAATGAGAAAGAAATAACAGCGCTGCGACAACTTCCAAACAAGGGCCAAAGATACATAATTTGACTTAGATTATTTGCCAGGACGTACGGGAAATTGCAGAGAATTAGGAAAGAAATCTATTAAGAGGAAGAACTATCCGTTAGTAAAGGAAACCCAACGGAATCATGACAGACGCCGGAGGTTGGAGTACTATCGAATCAGACGAGGTCTGTCGCTTTCCCTCCACTCATCTTCCACAATTGCCGCGATCAAGAATGTCCGGTTCCCTCTATTAATTAGTGTTCAAGCTTCCCATGCCATTTGGCTGACCGTGTCCATTGCTGAGCGCAGGGCGTTTTCACTTCATTGATTGAAAATCTTGGCGTCAAAGACGTCCAGTTCGAAGAGCTTATATCTCTCGATGCAGACACAATCAGGTCATTAAGGTATAGAACTCACCCCTGCCCACCTATATTATCTCCATCCGTTTGGCCTGCACAAGTAACCCACTGACCCATTGCTCGCCTCAAATCACACAGTCCCGTATATGGAGTAATTTTCCTCTTCAAATGGGCCGGCGGCCAGTCACGCGACTCCGCTGCTCCACAGGATGGCACCTACGACCGCGCCGCAACCGATAATGGGCTCTTCTTCGCCGCCCAAACGATCCAGAACGCCTGCGGCACGCAAGCCGTCCTCTCCGTAATCCTCAACCAAGATTCCCTCGCCTCCCAATCCTCACAAGCAGGCATCGACATCGGGCCCGAACTCCGCGACTTCAAGGACTTCACAACAGGTTTCCCGCCAGACCTACGCGGCGAGGCACTAAGTAATTCCGCGCGGATTAGAGCCTCGCATAATGCCTTTGCGCGCGCGTCGCCGTTCGTCGATGAAACGTCCCGCCCGCCTGTTTCTGAAGAGGACGCGGAGCTCTATCATTTCATCGCCTACACGCCGTTCAACGGCGTTTTATATGAGTTGGATGGGCTACAGCCGTTTCCAATTAGCCACGGCAGTTGCGATGAATCGTCGTTTCCGGAAAAGGTTATTGAAGTGTTGCAGAGGAGGATTGCGAGGTACCCGGAGGGAGAAATTCGATTTAATCTGATGGCGGTGGTGAGGGATTTGAGAGTGAGGGCGCTCGAGATCGGGGATGTAGAGATGTTGGATAGGGAGAGGAGGAAGAGAAGGGCGTGGGAATGGGAAAATGCATTGCGGAGGTGCAATTTTGTTGGGTTCATTGGGGAGGTGGCTAAGGGGGTTGTTGGGATGAAGGTTAAAGAGGGCGAGGAGAGTTACAACAAGTGGATAGAAGGCGCGAGGAAGGAGACGCAGCGGAGATTAGAAATGAGGAGAGGAAGAGGTGGTGGGGGTGATTTGGACTAGGCAGTTGAGGAAAATTTAGGCATGATTTGACGGAATTGGCAGCTTTGGGATAGAATTTTGTTCTATTATGGTCATACCCAGAACTTAACTTACCTTGCATGAAGTTTAACGCCTTTGGTTGTGTACCTAGCAGAAGTCGTTTCCATGGGTATCTTCATAATTCCCGCGCGTAGAAATCTATCAAAGGTGGAATATATTCCTGCGATTGAATAATAATGTCGACCTGCCAAAACGACTAAAGTCAAATTCAACTGCTAACCCCGGCCCTCGCCAAAAATCAAAGTTCCATATCACAGAAAAGGGGGCCAGAAAGCATAATCTTTCTAAGGCACCCAATTTAGATGTGAGGGATATTAGAGAAAAATTAATAGACGTAAAGGTAGGTATAGTAGCACCCTCTAGGAATAGTAAATGGAAGACTCGAGCAATTGTAAGAAAATGAAACTGAAAATGCAATGTAACTAACCAAAGTTTCCTTCGGTCATTAATGCAATTTTTACGAGGTGAACGGATGGGAAAAGATAGAGAAAAAGAAACAGGTAAAATGGAATTGCACAGCTATCCTAAAAGAAGAAACTTTAAAGCAAAAAAAAAGGGGGCGTTCTCGGGCATGTAGGTGTATCTACAGGGCAGGGCAGACTCACAGCCATACTGAACTACCACTTGCCCCGACCAACGACCAACTTATCGATCCTTTCCCTCACATGTGTGTTGCATGTTACTCTCAATACCCAAGAATATGCCCCTTGATCCGCTGAGCCATGTCAGGAGGCAGCTCGGCCTCTTTAATAAGCCCGAGCGATAGAACATCCGCCCAGAAAAAGAGTGCCCGATCCTGAGCATAGGCCAGATAATCAAACTCACCTACAGGCTCACCGATCGTATCGCTAGATTGCTCACTCCTGCGGTCCAATTCGATAGTGTCACTCTTTGTTTCTTCTCCTGTTGTCCCAGACTCTGCCTCGACGGGAGCAGACGAAGCGGCGAGAGCTTCTTCCATCCCCGAGATTTTGGCCTGGACAATCCCCCAAGCCACCCATTGCGCGGAGTTGGCTGCACGCCAGAGGCGAGTTTCGCGGAGAAGACGTCGAACTTCTAGGTCGAGTGCTTGTTCGGCCCGCTCGTGATCCTGGGACGATGACGTGGGAAACGGCGGAACTTGAGTATCGAGCATGAAGGGAGTTATCCGAGGACTATTGGAATGCGATGCATGAAATACTGGCGTTGGTGCCGTGCTTGAAGCTGCGCTCATCGAAGCCGCCGAGGACGTAGGCGCAGACTGGGTTTCCGGTGGGTGGAAGGTGCGTGGCCGATGGTTGAGATATGCGCGAATGAATTGATCCTGTTCTTCTGGGGTGGGATACCATTTCGTATTGCAGGCCCACGATCTTTCTGGGTCATGGTAGTTGTAGCACCATTCCGTCTAATATATACCAGTCAACGGCTGAACACTACAGCTATGTTATTGGGGGTATAAACGTACAAAGTGGTTACAGAATTCCAGGCCTCTAGTGTTCGCGGACGCATACTCAAAGTCAATAACTACAAGCTGTTTATGTTCGTTGGCTGGGAGTAGAAGAGGAGACTCTCCACTTGGTTCAAGGCGAAGAAGATTGCCATATTGTGTCTACCAGAGAGGGTTAGACATAAACGAGCCAAGGAAAAACGGAAATGGAAGAAAAAATAAAAAAAAAATAAAAAAAAATAAAAAAAATAAAAAAAATAGACAGTGACTTACGTCGTTATGAGCGAACACAAGCTGCTTGTTAATCTCAGGTGCTCCACCATAGCATGTATCCAGCCACTTGCGATAGGATTCAACTAATTTCCGGAACTTTGGCCATGGGGCGCCGCATACAAAACCATGTCGCCGCCATGGCTCCGATTCGAGCTTGGACTGATTAAGGGGAGACTTGATTTCGCTATCCAGCCACGACGCGACCCGTTCGCACCGCTCAACCCATTTGTCCCAGTTCTTCCATATAAACGGGCCGCTTTCCCTTTCTTCGGGGAGTAGTTCGATCCCGTCATGCAGCTCCCTCATTCGCTTGGCGATTTGCTTAGAGGTCTCTGGATTGCGAAGGTCTCTTGGCGTGAGAGTTCTTGCATGGAAATACTGTTCGAAGCGGCCATTGTTGAACGTGCCTAGGACCCGGGGGCCAATATTCCGCTTCCCTAGACGACGTAGAATCTGGAGTTCGCTCTCCCGATCGATTAAATGTTCTACTTGTGGCCCGTAGATGCGGAGTAAGAGTTGTCTGATAGTATTGTTAACTTCAAAGTCCAGATCTTAAACATATTTAATAGTATAGACTTACGGCGGAGGGTGTCTAGGCATGACTGAGCTCGAGCCACTCGAAGATGGAAGTGGTAAATTCTTCGGCGGAGAGACAACATACACAGCATTTGTTAGCGCTCCGCTGAGGCGGACAACTTCAATGTTACTACAGTCTTCGAGGGGAATTCTTCTCCAGCCCCTGAAGCCTAGGGTGTGCGTCAAGCGCACGATTTCAAATTTGAATTTTAACCAATGTCCTTTGGCTTTAGCGGGGAGGTTGTTCAATGAACTCTGGCTTCCAAAATCATTGTCTGCTTCACCTCCGCCATACAAGAGAGTTTTGGAGTTATCAAGGACAACATCGGCACTGGGGGGTGGTTGATCAGCGTCCGAATAATCAGAATCAGAAGTTGAACCCCGTCTTAAACATCTAATGCCAGCTCGCCGTTTGAGAGAAGATGACGATCTCTTACGTCCAATCGGGGCAGATGAAATGCCCTCTATCCCAGAAACCGCATATTGCGCTAAAATCTGCTCCAACTTCTCCAGAGCCAATGTTCCCTCCGACGCTTGAGAGTCGCTTCTCCCTCGAGTTAAAGTTGAGGTTGCATCTCCGGTGGTGATATCTGGCAGGGTTGCCTGCGAGTCACCGGCTCTCTTGGAGGCACGCGCTACAGCCTTGGCTTTCTCATGCTGCAACCAGTCGAGGACTTGAGCGAACAGGGAACGTTGGGCATGTGGGTTCTCTTCAATATCGCGATGCCGAATTCCGGGCTCGTCGTCATCTTGAATAACCGTCTCAAAGTTAAGGCTATGAATTTGACTACTTAGCGAGTTCAGAGAGCTGGACGAAGGGTGCGGCAATGGGCGTGTTGTTACCCTCCTTCCTATACTGGCTCGATGCTGCCTGGGTGATCGATCTCCCGCAATGGTGAGACCCGTGGAATCCCCATTCGCGGGTTGAGCTTGTGAATCAGATGCTTCTACCTTTGTTTCAGAATCTCCTGCTATTTCGAGTCAGCTTATCCAATATATATTTAAGTCTTGTCTGCTTCCTCCGAGAGAAGATCGCTCATAGCTGAATACATATTAACGTGAATTGAAATGCTACGTTTAATCATTCATACATATCCATATAGACAGTAAAAGAACCTAGCCATGAAATTTCCTGACCGTTCCCTTCTGTCATAGGTAATCCAGAACGTATGTCCAATGCCAGCATTATTCTGCATCATCACAACTTAACTTGGCACCAAGCTGGATGAGGAAAATTGCCCAAGTAACAGTCTTCATATGGTAGGATCAAAAGTAGGAATTTAACAACAATGCTTTTTCAAGCGAAAATCAAGCCAGAGAATCGTTGCAGAAGAGCATCATCTGCATTTAAACACCAGATGAATGGATGCACAAATATAAACGTGATGGAAGATGGAACATGAAGAACTTACTGGAAATGTCATTTTGGGCTACCGTATGGCCCTTGGAATCGGTGGGCGCCTTACTGAGCTGCTGCTCTGCGATAGGTGACATGATTTCTCGCGATTTTTCTTTCAACAAGAAGGGTCGTCCGACTTCGTCTAGAGCATATAATATACAAGTAAAGAAGAACGTAAAAAGGGAAGAGGAAAAAAAAAAAAAGAAGAAGAAGAAGAAGAAGTGAAAAGGCAAAAAGAGACAACCTTGCTAAAGCCCCAGCTGGAACTTGGGTCCGAGAGGACAGTGGCAAATGGCGAGGGAAACGAAATGACCCCTTTCTTCGCATGCAGATTCTTCCCAACTCGAGCTAGTGCCCTTATGGGATTAAATAAAATGTGCGCGGGGACAAGCTCATGCTCTTGCAAGATTACAAGGTAATAATGTTGTCAATATGGAGGAGGGGCGGAGGGGTGAGCACCGAATCTTGATATCAAAATGTTTGACTGATAAGACTGCAGAACCCCACGAAGTTAGGATAGATGGTTGGCGAAAAGCGGCTCGCCCTAGGAAGGGGAAGAGTATTAGAAGCTCAGGGACAATGTTAACGGGTATATATAAATATATGTAAGAATAAGCAGGGAAAAACAGCAGGGAAGGGAAGTTGGATGAGAAAGTTGTCTGATCGCCCGTTAATTTTTTTTTTTTTTTTTTCGCCGCCGAAGTTCCAGGCTCGGCCCAGATGAGATCCGCCCGAAAACGGAAAGGGGTCACATGCTGCTGACTCAGCAAGAGCTTATCTTGTAGGATAGTTGAAGGTTGTATTGATAGATCTATCTACAGGAACATATTATAGTGGTGGGTCACGTGATCTAGTGGGATTGCTAACTGCAACAGCTGTAAGGGCCAACACCCCCCCTCGAGATAACAAGAATCACATACAAAAACACCCAAACCACCAAGATAGTCTGTCAAAACCAAATATAAATGTAAAATTAAACATTTCCAACTTTTATGCCTGTAAGACCTAGCAAAACCATGAATCATACAAATGTCACATTGTCTAGAGATTTAGTGAGTTCATCTGTCATTATCTAAGCAGTGAGAATGTATTCTAAATCAATGATTCTCTGATTCAACTGTCAACATGAAAAATGAAAATGTGTATCAATGTGTTTACTTCAGACTGTAATGACTGTCATCTTTGTGAGATCTATGACACTCTTATTATCAGCAAGGATCTGTATCAGAGATGTAGTGATGAAGCCAAGCTCAATCATGAGATTTCAGATTCATGTTATCTCACAGACTGCCTCACTAAGAGCCACATATTCAGTCTCATTGAAACTTAGAGATACACAAGATTGCTTTGTCAAATGCCATGAAATTGAGTCACCTGTGAGCTTAAAAATGTAGCCAGATGTTGATTTTCTATCATTATTCAAGGGGCCAGCCCAATTGGAATCCGAGTAGCTGAAGAGTAGGTAGAAATTATCAGGGAAATCAGGGGTAATGGAAGGATTGATAGAAATGGAAAAAACAGAAGAAATGATAGAAACAGAAGGAATGATAGAAATGAACCTCTCATACAGACTGCATCTGTAGAAAATACTCAGATTCATAATCTCTTTCAAATATTATATAACATGTAATAGAGCCTTTCAATATTGAGATGTTGAATCAATGTTCTGTTGAGTGAGTAGTGAGACAGTGTAAGTGATATCAGAATGTGTTTTAACTGCAAGATATTGCAAGCAACTCACATCATATTGATATCACTGAATTGTGAAATCAGCCTCTTTCTCAGATATAGAGAAATCATTAATACAGAATTCATTCTTCATTGATATTCTGACAACAGTCATATCATCAAGGTAGAAATCTTTAACAAGGCATTTGATATATTGATAATATATTAAATCAATTCTCTTATCTGAACAATTGATCTTCATATTCAAATACTTGATTGACTGGTATAGATTCTTGACTTTCAATTTCTCACTGAGTATACTCACTAGTCAATCAGCATTCTCAGGAGCTTTGAATATGATGTTGAGATCATTAACATAGATTGTCATATAGAGATGATATCTGAATGTATGATATCAGAGTGCTGAATCATGAGTGCTGACTGTAAATTCAAGATCACTCAACAGAGCTGTTAAGTAATTATATCAGATCTTCATCACAGAGTCCAGGCTGTATAGACTACTCTCAATCACACAGACAAGTGTTTTCAGCAAACCTGTCTCAAATTCAGTGAATTATCTTATATAGATCTTCTTAGTGAGATGCTCATGAAGATATGTCATCACTATATTCACTTAACAGAGTGTTCAACTGTGTAGTACTGCTATTGTAAAAAGAATACAATTAGCAGTATCAGTGATAACAGAAGTGTAGATCTCTTCTCTAGAATTCTTCTTAAGTCAGTTATCACAAATCACTCAATGTGATTTTCTAAGAATATCATCAGAATCAGCATTCAGGTCTGCAGGCCTATCTTTCTCAAGAAACACTTAACAGCTCAGAGCAATTAGTTCATCTCTCAGAATATCAGATCTAGAGATCAAACTTCATATATTGCATCTCTTCAGGTCAGTAATCTCATGTTGCATGAACTTCTTTCAATAATCTTCTACTCTCTCTGACTGAGATGTGGCATTCTTGTAGAACTTCAGAAGATTGTCTGTAATAAGGCTTGAAGTGTAAGTAGTCAGTGATTTTGTGAGCTGCAATCATGTAGAATTTGAATCATCAATGTCAGAAGTATCTTCATCATTAATCAGATGAATATCAGGTTTCAGTTTACCAGCATTATTAATGAGTGCCACAGATGTAACAACTGGTTTTTTGATGATCAGAAACCTCACATCACTACTGACAATAATCTTGTCAGATTCAGAATATCATAGATGATATATCAATGTGCCACTGAATTCAATAATATGATAGAAATTGACACATGAAGAAAGCTTATCTGCAGGCTGCTGAGATTTATGCAAGTGAACAAAAACCTCTGCACTCAATCAGCAAAAATACCTTACATTCAGTGAGATATTTGTAAGTGCATATCAAGAAATCTTATGTGAACTTGAAATCACAGAAATCTCTGCAGTAGAGGATCAAAATTTCAAGTTATAAAGAATCATAGATGTGAGAGTATTATTGATTATTACAATCACTGTCTCTAGAACATCTGCTCAGAACTTCTTAGAAAGATTGTCTTTCAAAAGAGCAGCTCTAATCTGTCCCATGATAGTACAGATTTCATATTCAGAAACATCATTCTGATGTGATGAATGTAATGCTGTTGATTCTCATTTAATACTATATGAATTCATAACTGTGTGCATACATGTGAATTGGAAAACATCATCAATATCAGTCTGTAGAAAAGCAGAAGCTGTATACTCAAGATTACTCATGAATCTGAGCTATAACTCAAAGTATTGAACAGCTTCATTCTTAAACTTTAAAAAATATACTCAATGATAGCAAGTTGCATCATAGATAATGAGTATTCAGTATTTGATTCTCTGATGAGACTTTAAGAAGTGATCAGAGAGATCTTTCAATGTATGTCTATTATCTGCAAGATTAATATAAACCTTCTCAATGAGTTGAATAGATCTAGGTATCAGTGTTTTCAAATAATCTCATGTTATACCAGTCTTGACACATTTCTCATAAAAGAACTTAGTCTTAGAATCTTTAATTGTGACTTCAGTATGAGAATTCTTGATCATAGCAATTATAGCATCAGCATGAATGTGACTGAGGTTATAATATCAATTCAAAAGAGTCTTTGATATCTTTGATGCCTGTGTTCTCATATCTGCAGAATCAACATTATTAACAGTAGTAGCAGCAGTCATAGAAAGATCAACTTTTCAATCAAAATTGTACTTATGAGACATCATTGCAATATACTTGACTACTCTGTTCAGATGATTGAGATCCTCATTGAACTTCTGTTTATTAATCTTATATATGTTGTTCTGAGTGATCTGAACTGTATAAAAAATAACATCATTCAGAGCTCTGCAAATGAAAAATGAGAGAATAGTGAAAGACAATGTAAATCAGAATCTCTGATCTTCAAGCTTCATAAATAAGAGTAGATTAACTGTAATATTAGAAATATAGTGAATATTCTGTAAGTTAATATCATCATTCTCAATCTTCAAAGTGACAGTCTCAATTAGACTGACCGTGTGACCGTGTCTGAGACCAGGATCAAACTTTACAGTTGTCACATTGCCTAAAAGTATTACTCCTGGTCATGATTTGTGTTCATCACATTGATCTCAAATCCCGTTATTTCAAATATTAAAGGTCTCAGATTCACTTTTCAAATAAAAATCTAGTCTCAGATAAAGAATATGTTTGAATTCTTAGTCACATTTTCATTCTGATCTCATTATTGAAAATGACATCAAATGAGATCATGAAATCATTTCTCACTTACATAATATTATAACATAGTGCTCATTTGTTGAAAATTCAACAGAGAGTGTTATCAAATATTATTACTTTTCTGAACACAGATCATAATCAATATTATTTTAATTAAAAAAAAAAATGTACAATACAAAAAATAACAAAAAAACAAAAAACAAAACAACAAGAAAAAATCAAAACAAAAAAAAAAAAAAAAACAAAAAAAGAGAAAGAAAAAAAGAAGAGAAAGAAAAAAAGAGACAGAAAGAGAAAGAAAATTAAAAAAAAAAAAAGAAAAGAAAAAGAAAAAAATAAAAAATAAAAACAAAAAAAAATCAAGATTACAGAGCTGCAGCACTCTTAAAATACTCACTTCTCAGAGTCTTTGCAATATTTATCACCAACTGTGTATCTCTCACAGTGAGAATAACACAGCTGTGATGAGTCATTGTCTTAACACCACCTAATAAATAATCAGTATATATCTATATAAATGTGAATAATTAGAAAACATACACTTAAAAAGTGTGGCCAGGGTGGACTCTGCTGCCACTTGAATAACATCAAGAACAGAATGCTGAAATCAATGATTTCTCTCATCAATTTCATGGACAAGGCGCGTGAAGATGGTCTTGAGAAATATAAAATTCCCAGACTTCTGATAGAAACAGATCTCACAGAGAGACTCTATTTTCATCATATCAGAGACTGAGTATTATCAAAAAGTGTTACTTCAATGCACATGCACTTACTGCAGCAATTCATTCTCTGTGCATGTGACTGAGAGTTGCAGCTTTCTCACACTGCACAGCTCTCTCTGAGATGCTGCTGCTGGTTTGCAACTCATGCAGTCTCTCAGTTCAGCATGCACTGCGCATATGCAGCTCTGCATGCTGGGGCTGTGTTGGTCATTATGGCCTGGCGTGGTACTCACTTTTCACGGGCCATGTTTCATTTGATTGGGGGGGGAAGGGGAGGACGCGACTGCTGTTTTATTTGAGAGAGAGTGAGTAATTGAATCTGTAGAAGATAGGAGATAATTTGATTTCTTCTGCATTTGAAATTTGATTAGTCTATACTCTTCAATTTAAGGGTTTCTGAGAGTGTTTTAATAGTTTTCATACCAGCTTGAAATTAGTGATTGATTGAATAAGAGAAAAGAGAGAAGAAAGAAATGAGAATAACTTATCTTTATAATATGAAAATAGAGAATTGCTGCAATCATTTGTTCTAGCAACAAAGATCTGTTTTCTGCATGTATCTCTGATACAGATTATA